ACGTAGGGGGGCAAAGCATCCATCCATTGCACTCGACTGCACCTCCCTTCCACAACAGCCCGTAGCCTGAAGGCTAAGCTAGCTGGTTAGCCGTCTCCGCTGCTCACTTAGAAAACATCATGGCGGAGGAGGGAGGAGGCAAAACAAACTAATGGATACCAGAAACATCCAACGTCAATATGGTTTGACAATGAGCAAACCCTGCTGATAGCATACATAACTTTATAATACACATATACTACAAACGTGTAATATGCTTCTGATTCCAAGAGCATTTTACAGCGGCTAAAGTTTTAAAGTTAAATGCTTTTCGACGTTCTGCTCGAGCGCTTCGCCTTATGCGGGCTCTAGTCATCTAGTCATGGGTAATGTAGTTTGCAGCTGGCTGATAACCCTTCAGTGACGAGGACATCGGCGATACATAAAACTACAGCTCCCTACACAAATAAAACCGCCCTTCTGAGATTTGTTTTTAGCTTAGCTGAGGCACACGAGTGAAATTGTAACTGAGAGGGAGAAAACAAGTTTACGCTTTTTCTTTTCTTTAACAATCTCACCCACGTTGTGTGCATCCCCATCTCGTGAGTTATGGTTTTGTTTCCTTATCAATATATTTTCGAGACAAGTCGCGCTAATATCGTAATCTAACATCCAACTATACTTGATAGCTAGCATGCTAACGTGATGCTAACTTAATGTGTTGTCGTTTCTTTCTGTTTGACTTGTGTAATGATTATAAAAGCAAAAAAAATATATATCGTAGTCAGTCAAAAATGCATTGCTTTATTATCCTTTATTAGCTCAACCCAAGCAATAACGTCTTTATAAAGCCAGGACGTAAGACAATGTTTGCCACATTATTGCAAATACAGCTGTATGTATCATCTGCGCATCTGGTTGTCTCCCTGTCGCACATCGGCAGTCTGGAATCGACCTGCTGTTATGCCGGTGCACCGTGACCGGGAGAAGAAAGAGAGCACTGTGGAGGAGATGGAGCTGGAGGAGCACGAGCATGAGGCCTCCAGCTCGGAGGAGGAGGATTCTGACACCTCGTCTGTCTCCGAGGATGGAGACAGCTCTGGTAAAAAAAGAAGAAGAAGTCTGATACAGTAGAAAATAAGCACAACAATCAACTTATGTTCATGATTTCCATTAAAACTAACAGTGTATGACTCTGTGTAGTTCCGGTCAAAGGTAACCCTAACTCCATAATAATTAATCTAGAGGCGTTTGTGTGCGTTGCTCTATTGTGTCCCAGAAATGGACGAGGAGGACTGTGAGCGGAGGAGGACAGAGTGCCTTGATGAAATGTCCAACCTGGAAAAACAGTTCGGGGATCTCAAAGACCAGTGAGATAGAAATAGATTTCAGTGAAGTTCATATCGTGACTTGGTATTGGTCGGCTCTTGCTGCAGTCAAACCCGTGTTTGTGTGCAGGTTGTATCACGAGCGTCTCAGTCAGGTGAACAGCAAGCTGGGAGAGGTGGAGGCCGGCCGGGCAGCAGAATATCTGGATCCTCTGGCGGTGCTGCTGGAGAACATGCAGGTCCGCACCAAGGTGGCAGGTAAACAGGGACACGCAGACACACTCGGCACGTCTCGCACACTCCTCCGTCATTCACCCCGTCGTTCCCTCTGCCTCTCTCAGGTATCTACCGAGAGCTGTGTCTGGAGTCAGTAAAGAACAAGTATGAGTGTGAGATCCAGGCAGCGTGCCAGCACTGGGAGGTCAGGAATGCACACACACACACACACACACTTTAATTTGCCTCTGTCTTAGAGAAATGTATTGCTGAGTCATTCAACATTCAGAATTAGATTTGAATCGAAGTGTTATTTGACTTGTGTCATTGGTGGTTGTGTGAGTAGGTATTTGGATGTTTGCTTGCATTAGTTCCTTGCTAATATTATGTTAATGTCTTGTCTTGGTGTGTGTGTGTGTGCGCTCAGAGCGAGAAGCTGCTGCTGCTCGACACGGTGCAGAGTGAGCTGGAGGAGAAGATCAGAAGACTAGAAGAAGACCGACAAAGCATAGATATTACATCAGGTAATGCAACTAAATACATTTGAAATACAGCAGCAGCGACGCACACCGCGCATCCAGCATTGTGCGTTGTACTCAACGCCAGTGAAAAAGTTTGTAATCAGTCCGTGTCTCTCCTATCAGAGTTGTGGAATGACGAGTTATCGGGGCGGAAGAAGAGGAGAGATGTGCTGAGTCCGGATAAGAAGAGGAGGCGACCTTCAGTGGTGTCTGATATCCTTCTGTTGTTGATACTACTGAGCATTAAAGCCGCGTCTATAAATTGCCGTATGCGGATGTGTCCTGGTGTTCAGCTCCCTGTGTCCTTAACTCCGCCCACGCCCATATATCGTTTACATGCTGCCCGACTTGGACATCCTGGAGGACTGGACAGCTATCAGAAAGGTGCGCAAAATGCTGCGGCTTTGTCTCATGTCTGCGTCTTTGTGTGTACGCATCTTTTAACAACAACAACAACAATGATGTGTGTGCGTGTGTTGTCCCCCAGGCCGTGGCTACGCTGGGCCCCCACAGAGGTAAGGCGGACACGGACGGCCCCGTGTTCCCGTTCAGACAAGACAGATGCCGGCCCATTCTCAACTGCTGAGGAACACACACGGCGCGCACACATTACCGAGCCCCCTCAAACAAATCAGGACGCACGAGTGTATACACGACACCCACGGCACGGTTTAAGATGGACATTTTTGCTGAGTCGTTCCCACAATCCACCACATCCCTCAGCTAACAGCGGCGCCAGTAAGCTGCCCGTTTGTGTAGACAAGTTTATTTTAGAAGTGACGACGTGCTCCACATTTGTGTCGTCTTCACCGAGGTTATTCCTTTAAAATAGATGCCACCGATTGGATGGAAATGTTTGAAGTGAATCTGGTGTTTGGTGAGAGAGCTGTTATCTGTATCGCAGTGAGCCACAGTGTTGTCTAAGCTACATTTATTTTGTCTGTCAACAGCTACATCAAGGGGAAAAGTTTATTTTGATTGTACTTCACAATTGGATACCCGAGGGACAAAGATAATATACTGTAGGACAAGTTAAAATACCACAGGTGTCACCGGGACATTCTCCTCTTGCGCATCTACCTCGTTACTCAGTCAGACTGCTTCACTCTGTGACGCAAAATCTACGTTAGCATCATTGCTCATGAACACGGAAGCGCTCGTATCGTCACCAGCAGCCCGGCGAGCGTTGGTGCACCGCAGACGTGATTCCTCCAATCACCCCTCCCTCCATTTACTCTTCCATCATTTAACTCTATGGTTATAAAAGGACGATGAACACGCTGCCCTTAACATGTGACCTTTTTTTAATAAGATAAAGGGTGTCAACACAAAAATGTATGGACATTTGTGTCTGTCTCCTTACTAATGTGAGTGGGTTTTATAATTAAAATGGTTTTATAAGCAGGTTGTGGTGTCTGTTCACTGTAGCTACAGTGGTGAGGACGCTGATGGAACGGAGAGCACTTGGATGGACGTCACGAGTAATAGTTCTGTCATAGCGTAACCCCACTATTTTTAGAATGAAATATTTAGTGGTTTTCAATAAGTGTGTTTACAAACTGCTTCCTGTGGAGCAGGAGGCCTGTCCTCTCTCTCCCCGAGCCTCACCACAGGGTGCACGGAGGGATAAATGATGTCATGGCATGAAACTTGTGCTCACAGGTGTACGGCGGAGCATATGTCAACTCACTGGCGGAAGGCACCTTTGCACCTACCACTTTTTAAAAAACCACAAAAACTTTGAGAAGAAAAAAAATGAATTTATACAGCTAGGACCACTCTGAACGAGTGGCCACCCAAGCTTCATTTATTTCACAAACGTCATCGTTGAGCAAATTGCCCGGAGGGAATGGAATGTATGACCATAAGAATAACTGATAAAAAATAACAGCTGTGTAGATTTGTTATCTAGATGTGAAATAGTAGCTTTCATAGAGGTTAGTACATTGAGGTGACACATTTTTAAATTTTGAGCTCAATAGTTTGATGGACTCAAGGTTTTACTCTTGTGTGTCGCCGTGGTTTCTCCTGCTTTGACATGTCCAAATGTCTGGGGTGAAGTAAAAAAGATGTCTTGTTAGCACAAACACTGGCACAATCAATCTCTGGAAATACAAGTTCTTTGTATTTCCAGAGATTAATAAAAATAACCACTGAATATTTAAAAAGGATGGTAAATATAAAATTATGCAAAATTACAATGTACAAATCTTATAATATAAGCAAACATGGCATTTATTTATGTTTATTTAATGTATAGTTATCAGTTAAAAGTTAAGGTAATGAGTTAGGTGGCGTTGTGTATATGCATTGTGCTGTGCAATTAAGGTTACAATAGATAAAATTTGCAATAAATTGGAATTATATATAGTCCATATTTAAACAATGCTGTTGCATGTGGTAAATACAACACTAGAAACACGCTAACAAATCACTAAATTCAACACCTTTTCAATCTGTCTTTCAAGTCTTTATTAATCTGTCAATAATCACTTTTTACAAAATTCACAATGGTGACATCCTTCCAACGTGAGTCACCGGCTACCAGGAGCCTCTCGTTTCCTCCGTAATCAAGTCCTGTTTGCTGCTGTCTGGAACCACAGCTCTGTTGATGGGGGCTGAATCCTACAAATCCCACTGGGAAGCCGGGGAGATCCAGTTATGCAATTTAATCCAATCTTAAGAAACTTGCTTGTTTTACCTCTGAGGAATCCAATCTTGGTCAAAACCCAGAGATGCTAAATAGCTAGTTTTATTATTTTTTTTTTAAATGTCTAAATGTTTAAAAGTCTTTCTGGCATTGTCAACCGTCTCTGGTTCACTCACTCTCACACAAACACAAACAAACACACACACAGCTGCCGTGATCCTGCCGCTGACCATGTGACACAGCAACAGGAACTACTTCACAGGTCGGATGATGATACGGGCGAAGAGAGGAAGCAGACGGGCTGTGAAGGCTGATGGTTTCCTAAGAGCTGACGCCCCTTCACTAAATAACCCCCCCTCCCCGGGCCGTTGCTGTCACGCTAAACAGAACCGTGGGAAACGACAACGGGGGCGACCGGACTGACCGTCCCTCGGACCGTCACGTCGTTGCTCAAAGGCTCAGATGACGTCCTCGGGCGGGGGCAGGTGCTCCTCTGCCGACTGGCTGTGCGGCAGGGAGGGGACGGCCTGCTGGGGAGGGAGCGGACCCATCGAGGGTTGTGGGTGTCCGTCGAGCAGAGGGGGGCGCATGGGGGGAGCGTAGTAAGGGCGAGGGGCATTGGGCCCACCGGGAGGGAAACGAGGAGGGAAAATCATTCCTGGGGGTGGAGGGGCCCACACTGGAGAAAAGAGGAAACAGGAAGAGAGCGGCAGGTTAACCAACGGCATTCCGACATAACGTGGCAGCAACAGGTGGCGCAGACGGCCGGGACTGCTTACTCGGCATCATGGGAGGGCCCGCAGGTCCCCTGGTTGGGTAGAAGTCAGGAGGCGGCGGGCCATAGGGGCCTCTACGAGGAAAGGGGCCGCCCACGGGACCCATTGGGTGGCCGGGTGGCGGTGCCCCCCCGATCCTTGGATCGGCTTCAGGGGGAGTCCTTCGATCCCCAGGACCAGACTGTGGACAGAAAACATCAACGTTACAAAAGGCACGAGGCGACACCGACACCCACACACACACACACACACACACACACACACACCTCTGTGAGTTCAGGATCGCCAGGCCCGTCTCTGTAGGAGCCATCTGCATTGAGAGGAAAGGAGACAATGAGAAACCATCACCGAGATGGTTAATGCAGGTTTCCATTTGTTCAGCTACATACGCTCCAAAGAATGAGATGGAAACACTGAAGGAACAACGGGATGCTGTACAGATCACGGGGGACTCACCCGCAATGTCTGCAGGGTGGGGGGGTACCGGGACGAGACCCCTGGGATGATAAAATGGTCCCAGAGGAGGTCTCCTGTACATCGGACCTCCTGATTCTGGGAACATGTAGCCTAAGAGACGGACACATGGGGTGATATTTAAGCATATACATTAGCAGCTCTCCAATTCCAAAGCTGTGAACAAGTTAAACAACTGTGCAGTTGTTTAAATAAACACTTTAATAGTTAGTAGTTTCAAATATAACTGATTTGACATTTGTCTAAAGTTCAAAGCGCATTGAACACACAGCCCACATGCAGCGTCACACATGCATTTAGCATGCACATGCGCACTAAACGACTTGGCACAGGTGCCACTATTGACCCTAACCCTTTGAATGGATGTCATGAGCACGGACTGCTGCAGCACTCACAGTGTCAGCGCTGGGTTTTGGTTCCTAGAGCTGTGTGCAGACTTAATACCACTATGCCTTCAAAACAAACAGGACCTACATAAATAATGTAATAATGACCATAACGGAAGGTGGATGACAGAGCGACCCCCCCCTGACAGTGAAATCAATCATAATCCTTGATGTATTCACTGGCTGGTCAGGTTGTGCCTGTCTTGTATTACAGCCTGGAAACCCCGCTGGCTTTACTCTATTTATTTCTTGTCTTCTCTCCCTCTTTCTCACACACACACACCTGGTGGTCCAAGGGGCCCGGGGGGGCCTGGCGGGGGGCCCCTGCGATCCCTCTCCCACGTGGGAGAGATCGAGCCACTGTCTGAGTGAGGGCCTCCGCTCCGCTCCAGCTCTCCTAGACAAAGAGTGGGAGGGAAGAAGCAGAACCAATCGGCCAAGGACAAAATGTCAGACTATTAGACCGGAATGGGTGTATGATTGTAAGTTGGACACAAAGATGAACTGTCATGTCGATCAGAATGAAATGATGGGATTTAAAGACATATCTTTCTGCCATTCACTTTTCAGAGCGCGAACAGCGTGCTAACACATGGACCATGCTAGTGCACACAGCTGATCATGCTACAGCCAGCTGGACCTCTCCAACATGCACAGAGCGTTTACTGGTCTGATCTGTACTGGTTCAGTGTGCAGCTGTGTTAATATATATATATATACATGTGTGTGTACCTCTCGGAGACAGTCTAGCAGGTGGGCCGTCCATTAATGTGGGAGGCGATAAAAAAGCTCTGGTTTCAGATGCAGGTCGACCCAGAGGAGATGGACTGTATGGGGACCTTTCAGCTGAGAGGGCCAAGGGAAGTTTGGTTAGTGCAAATCCGTAGCCTTGTGCTTTCAGGGTGGGATCGGGTGAATATGAAGTACGATAATGGATGGTTCGGTTCACATGCGTGTGTGTGTGTGTGTGTGTGTGTGTGCTGACCTCTGAAAGGCAGCGGCCTGGCCAAGCTGTCCAAGGCGTAGGGATCTTTGTCGAGGGCGTCGAGCTTAAACTGTGTGTCGGTCAGCCTGCAAACAAACACAACTTAAGTCATATGAGCAAATGAGAAACATTTCATAGACTCTGTTGTGTAATGTATATGGTGTATAAAAACAGCGGATGACATTAAAGCGCTTGTTACTGCCTGCTTACTTCTGTCTGTAGAGGCTGTTCTCTCTCCGGATGTCGGCCAGGTCTCGGTCTGCTGCCCGGGCTGCCAGCTGGAAACATCAAGCCATGATCACATAAGTACATGCACACAGATGCAGTCAAGTGCACAACGTTAAGAGAAGTCATTTGAATGCAGCAAAATGAAGAATACTTCATGTCATTTTACAAACCCAGTTATTGTGAGCCTTCTTTTCATGTGCTGATATTTGAGTCTGGTAAGACTGCTTGGTTTTCTCCAGCTCCTCCTCCATCTCTCCCGCACGTTGTCTGAAGAAAAACGTGATGTAGAGGTGAGCCCCCATGTGTGTTTCCTGCTTGTGTGTGTGTGTGTGTGTGTGTGGGGGGGGGGGGGGGGGTGCTACCTGTAGTTGCTCAGCTCTTCCATGGCTAACGCAATGTTCTTGTCCGCTTTATTTAACTTCTCCTCTTTCTGCAGGCGCTCCTTCTCCTCCACGGTCAGCAGCCTGAGAAATGCACAAGTTCCATCAACGTCCCGAACAGCTGCTACAGCTCGCATCTGCTCTCTTAACTTCCCCACGTTGGGTCTATACCTGTGTAGCTTGAGCTCATTCTCCTGGTACATTTCTGTCATGATCTGGAGTTTCTGTTGTAATCTTTGGACCTGAAGGAGAGCAATGAATCAAAAAGCAAATGAATGTAGATCAACAATAGAGGAGAATATCACACAAATACGTTCTGGGGAAGCTACCTGATCTTGGTACTGCTCAGAGTCTGACTGCAGGGATAACTTGTCATTGTTCATCTCCCTGATGCTCTCTAGAGGGGAACCCAAAAGCACACACACACACACACACGCAGTGTCACACAGATCCAAAAACACTACATCCGTGACCTGTCGGCGTTGATATCAGAAGTAACGACAGCACAAAAACGTACTGCTGACTCACCTTGAAGTTCTTCTTTTGCTTTGACTTCATCGCTCAGTTTAGCAAACAGTCGGTCTTTGTCTTCATCTACTGCTTTGAGGTCCGCATTCAGCTGCATTCAAATACGCGCAACGTATCAGTCAGTGTGCGAGTGTACAGAAATGAGAAAAAAGGCCCACAATGTTTTTGAAGAGATCGAGGTGGTTGCATGATCTTTTCATAAACATGGTGAGCTTTTTTGTCCGTAAAATAACAATACCTTCGCAGCGTAGATGAGTTTCTGGACTTTCTGCAGATGGCCCTGTGTGTCCTTAACTTCCGCTTTTCCGTTTGCCTCTGCTCTACCATTGGAGTTCTCCTTCTGGCCCCCTGCCTCAGCTTCCTCCTCCTCCAGATCGGAATCCCAACCCTTCATCCCCAGCAGCCGATCGGTCAACGACTGGAAGCGCACACACGTATTTGGCCTTGATCAATCACACCAGCCTTCTGTTGTGCTATTTCTCCAGATTCCCATTATATAACGCAAGGTTGTTAATGGAGATGTCAAGGTACAACACAACAAGCCACAACACAGTGTAACAATAGAGCCAACGTACCATTATGCGCTCGTCTTTGGTGGCCACGTCCTGCAGCATAGCACCGTGGGCCACCTCACACCTGCTCATCTCGGCCTCCAACTCACTCACCCTCTCCGCCCATCCCTCCACCTGCTGCCTCAACTGCACGGAGAAACAGGCCAATCAACACGGGGGATGGGGGGGTCAATTAGAAAATAATGAGTGTGGATTGGCTGAATGAAAGAAACTGGCTGAGAAGTACTTTCAATTGAACCGTGCATCCCGCCTCACATGGGATGTTGCTGTTGTTGGAGGTGTACGCCGTCCTACCTGAGCATTGCTCTCCTGCAGCAGTGCGCTCTCCTCTCCAGCTGTTCCCAGGTTCCCCTGTAGTCTATCGCTGTTCATGCTGTACACTTTCAGTGTGGTTTGTGCCTAGGGAGAAACAAGCGGCGGCTTATTTTCAAGGGAAAGGTGAAGCACGAGAGAGAAGAGGACAGGGAAGAAGGGTGCGGTAATGGTACCTGCTCGTCCTGTGACAGGAGGTCTCTGCTTTCTTCTTCACTGGTTTTAATGGTCTCTTCAAGCAAAGCTATCTGGAAGGATAACAAAGTTTTATATATGTGAATATCGCACTAATGCAATGGATTACCAACCATATCCTAATATCACATGTCAGACAATTCCACAGCTGGAATTGTTGGTCCTGGTACGTGGGCTCCCACCTTCCTTTCCTGCTCTATCCTTTGTTCTCTCTGCTGGTCCAGTTGTTTCTTCAGTTGTTCCAGATCCCGATCCAGCTCTCTTTTAGCATGACCCAGCTGTCTGGCTTTGACCTGGAGGAGCAAGAAATCAAATTACTGAGACAGTGTCTCAAGCGCTTTGGTCCAAAGCTGTTTAAGTTCTATTTCATTGTCACTCGCTGCCAGCAGTTCATAGCTTTGTTTATGACCACCGCAGGCTGCGGTTTTCAACAAGCAAACCTCTAAAAACCCACTGTACACTACAACGACACCAAGGCTCATAACCATTAAAACCTCAAACAGGTCGTTTTGAGAAGAGATGTTTTAAGCAGGATGACAAGGGTGTCGTTAATAATGATTCTACTTTTGAACAAAGTATGGAAGAACTAAACTAAATGTCTAAATAAAAATGTCCCTCATTAATAACAATAAACTTACCTCCAGATGTTCTGTCTTTTGAGTTTGGGCCAAGACACCATTCTCCTTCAGCGTGCTCTCAAGGCCATCGTACTACAAATAAAACATAATGAGGAAATAAATCTGACCGGCAAGACTCTTGCTAACATGACAACATCAGGATTTAAACTCATATTTAGAACTGTCCTCAATAGCTTTGCGAAGGGAGAGTTTCTGTTTTTTGATCACCACATGCGAGAGACTCGACATCCTCTCATTCAGACCATTATCAGGCCATGGGAATAAAAAGATATAGTAATTTTGCCTCAGTTGGAAACACCCTGTGTTGTGTCACAAAGGCTCTGCCAACAGTCAGTATTCAATCAGCAATGGCACCAGTACCAACCTCTTGCTGACATTTGCTGAGATCCTCAAGGACTTTACACTTCTCATCCAGCAGCTGTGTCACCTGCTCCGCCATCCTCCGCTCTTTACCTGAAAAGAAGGGAATACAGAGCCTGTAAAGATACTGAAATGATCTTCTAACATATTTCTTCTTGATGGGTTAATAAACGGTTAATAAACAGTGGCATGAGAGAGGTTGGGTTGACAGGGATTAGTGAGGTTTTGTTGGTCCTGGTACCAACAGGGTCTAAAAATATGTTATATTAAAGAATAAGTAGTGAGAACTTACTTCGATACATTCTGCTTTTGACCTGGGATGAAATAAAAAAAATAAAAATAAACATTGAACCGCGTAATTAAGGGATTATATTTGTTCAAAGATTTGCTGACCATAAAGTGTGGTCTCTTTGTGTCTATGTTTAAAGCAACAATATCATCCCAAATGACTATACTGCATGTACAATCTGTGATGTTGATGCGTGTAACATACATAGCTGTGTACTTACAGAACTATAACATCTACAGGTAAATAACAGCATGGTCACCAGCCCCACCAGACTGGAGACGATGACCGGTTCCCATGACAACCCGTACAGGTCCGGCCCAGGTCTGATGTCATCAGGCAGTGACGACACAACCTGAATGAAGAGGAGAGATCTGTTTGTTTTAGGAGCTGGTTTCAGTCTATTTGGTTTGCTCTACTCTACATTGACGCAATGGAAAATTTACTGTGCACTTCTCATTTCTGCAAACCAACTGTTAGTTCAAATCAACTGCGGTGAATGAAATGAAACGTTACAGATGGTTCCTTGCAGCCTCACAAAACAGCTGATGCTTCTGCAAGTAGAGTGTCTCCCATAAACGAGCCTCATTTCATTTCCAAGTAGCTTTAATATTCTCACAATTGTCTAATGTATGTAGAGCCTTACTAGTTCAACGACTAGCCACGACTATTTCGCCTAGAAACTTTCCTACACAGCTGTTATATAAAAAGGAGTAAGATGAGTTAGTACTTTACCCGCAATATAAAAACAAACATCTTAGCTGCATGATTTTTAAAAAAAGAGGAAAGCCCCTGTTCAGATATAGTAATGTTACCATTAATTAACAAGCTAACGTTAGCTAACTGTTAATAGCTAACTCTGTGGACAAGTACACAAACACGCCTGAACGTTGTATTGACAGCTGGTTAACGGCGCCGGTCCGACACACTTACAGTCAAACATCAAATAAATCAAATGTAACGTTATTTCGCAATAATGGACGAGCCGTTACATTATGTCAGATCGGAAATGCTAACGAAACCTGCCAGATACAACGTACATCCTTCACTTTCTCCACTGCGATGCTGTAGTAAGCCTCCGCCGTCGCCTGAAAGTCGACTGCTGTGTTGACCGACGGGTCGCTTGCTGTGTGTTCCGCCATTTCCCAAATATCTCATTAGCTTATACTTTTGGTGAAAGTTGGCATTTAAAGCCTGACATTAGGAACACAAATCGAAGCCGTCAACCGGGCTGGCGGCGATTTCACATCCTATTCACAACACCGAGCTCAAGAGTGGAACACGCCACATTGTAGGAGGGGTGGGTGGGTGTATTCTCTCTACAAACTCCTCATTTAGATCCCTTTGGGTGTTTTTTACTCCAGGACACGATATAAAAGCTATTAGAATACGTCTTTGGAATTTTCTAATACATATATATTGATGTTAGCACTCATAGGGTCATATAGATATCTTCGCACCCCCGCCTTTGTAGATGGTTCAATCGCAACGTCACCAATTGCAGAATGCCACACTGGCACGTCGGAACACTTTCAAAGTGACACCGAGAGAAACAGGTGTCCCTTCACACAGGGCTCTGTGACCCTTAATGGAACACTTTCCATCTCTAACTATATATCCAAATACATAACACCGTCATTTCAAACGTACATAAATGCAATCGCGCTGTTTACACCGACGTGTCACATGCGTTTTGTTTCGGGTGCAGAATAATAGAAATAACAAGCGGGTCCAAGTAGGACATAGGTGAAGATTCGACCCGTCAGCAAAGGTTTCACAATGTACTCACCGAGCCGGCCTCATTTTCGTCCATTTTTAACTATTTATTAGTCGTGTCAAACGGTTTGCCTGAAGAGAAAGTGGGTTTCCAGCTGGCTCATGGTGTGTAACAGACCCACCGGCACTCGCGAATTTGAGTCATGATGACGTAGCCGACTGAGTGTCCAGAGGGGGAGTCAGATCGACTTGACACACGTTTGGTGTTCTTAAAGGACCAGACCACACAGTATGCTGACCATGCTATAAGGACCTCTGAACGTTTGTTAAATTCAGTGTCAATTCCAGAGCCCTGTCCATAATAATCAAAATGTAGACATGCATAGTGTCTAGTTTGAAGTTACCTGACTAAACCTGGTTAAACTGGGCCAGGGAAAATTTCAGACAAACAAAACGCCTCTGAACTTGGGTCACATAAACAATGCCGTGAGGTGGGGGGCGGCAATGACAGAACACGTTTCATTTAATCAACTAGACTAGGGTTTTTTACGTCCTTTTTTAGGTCTTGTGCATGACCGAACTCCCCCTCTGAAACACGCATGTGTTGTTGTGTAGTTGGTCACATGACAAACGTTTTGTACTTACATCATTGATATTTAAACCTACATCCGGTCTCCATGGGTTTGAATCTGTAAATAATTGTTACCTGTGAAATAAGCCATATAAGGAGCTCCCTCGCTGCGTGCATGTAACTTGTCAAGTCTTTGCCGATCTGATGAGCAAATTCCAGAATCTGTCTAATTACCCCTGGAATTAGATTCAAAAACATATTTTCACAATGGTATATTATTCAAATTCAACCAAAAGCTTTAAATTGTTTGTATTAATGTATAAGAATAAAGTTCCATTTAAAAAAATGTTCTGTATGCCATATCGAGGGAATGATGAGGATGCCTTTTATATCTCATTGCTTAATATATTTGAATACTTCTTGAATAAGTCATCCATACCTTCTGGTGGGTGTGGTGATGCTGGCTGAATGTGAGGAAGGGTCTCCGGGCGCCGTCTCTCTCTTTCCCTTCTTTCTTCCTCCTCCACTCTTCGTTCATCCTCAGTCAGCCCCTGTTTTGCTGTGCTTCCACCCAGTCTTCCATCTTTGGCTTCATCCTCCCCGATCCATTCATCCCTTGGAGCGTTCCTCTCCAGGCTCCCAGGGGGGACGTCCTCAGCGGGTGTCTTGCCGTGAGTTGGGTACGATTCCCTGACCGAGTTGGGCCCGGCTGCATTTAACAGGGAACACACATGCACTCTGATTGAGATGATTTTGAGTCAAACCCATACTTGAATTCCAACATCAAACTACCTGAAACAATATCTTTGAGGCCATAAAAAAACGTTGTGGTTTGTGCTGCTGACGTCTGATTCACCTGTGCTGAAAGTCTCCCTTACTCTTGCCAGCATTGTTTCTAGCTTCTGAAGCGCGATGAGCGTTCTGGTCTTTTCCTTGTCCTCCCGCGGTGCGTCCGCCAGCCCCATGCTGGGAGCCACCAGTGCCTCTCTGTAATGACCCAGGAGCCTCTCCATATCCAGCAATATCGAGTCATCGCCATCGGGCTGATTGGCCTCGGTTACCGCGCTCCCTAAAGCGTAGTCCAAAAACTGCAGCTTGTGTCGGCCAAAGAGCTCCGTCAGGATGGTCGCCTCGTCTGCGCTCATGTGGCCTAGGAGGCTCTTGTTGTGTCTGGTGGGGGTTTTGGTCTGGAGGGGGCTTTCCACAGGGTGAGAATGGATCTGCGTTGGGGACGGAGGGGATCGCCGGGCCTCCCCAAGGGGGGGAGAAGGCCGCGGCAGTGACGCGGTGACGGGAGAGTCAGAGTGCAAATCTTGTACGTAAACCCGATTTGAATCGTGGGTTGTATCCACTTCCTGTTCAGGAGGGGGAGGGGCTTGTTCATTGTTTGGGCCTGTGTTAGAACCCAAACTTGGTGCGGACTCGTTAGGTCCCTCAGTATTGGCGACGGAGGATCTGAAAAAGCTAACGGTGCTTTTGAAAAGGCCGAACGCTCCTGCGCTCGGAGGCTCTCTTGATGTCCCTACATTGTGACCGTCGGACGGAAAGGTTTCTTCAGACATCACAGCGGACAAAACAGGAACCTCTTCCACTCCGTCTGTCCTGGACTCGCCATGACTAGCGGTCTCCTCCCTGTCAGTGTGCATCTCTGTTACTATCATATGATCAGAGTGCACTTGCTCGGTTTTCTTCTCAGCTGAAACCCCGATGCTGACGGTTTCAGTGAATTCAAGCTTGGTGTTGTGGGCCTCACTGGAAAGTCGCTGATGATGTTCTGTGTTCTGAGTTGTCTGGCCAAGTGAAAGTGATTTAGTACTCTCACCTGAATATGGCAAATCATTGTTCTTCCCCTGATCTTCCATGGCACCATCATCTTTATTCTCGTCCTTTTCTTTCTCCACCTTTATTACATCCTCATCCTTCTCCACACCTTCAACTGGTACTGGCTGACCGGCTCCTAGCCTGTCTGCTAATGTTTGATCAGTGTCGGCTACTAGATTTTGCTGTGCTGTCGCCACTCTCCCTTCCTTTATTGAGTTGTGGTTTGTGCTAGCAAAATCATTTTCATCTCTGTCCTGCACAAATCCCTCTTTGCTAGTTTCAGAGCAAAGCTCTTTTGAACGTTCAAGGATCCCCTCTTCCTCTTTGTTCCGCCTCAAATGCTCCGTGTTCTCCTTCTCCTCGACCTTTTCCTCTTTTATTTCGGCCATGACCTTTTCTTTTTCTCGCGCCTGATCTTCCAATTCTTCTACCTCCCTTTCCTCTTTGAACTCTTCTGTCTCCTGCTGCTTCCCCTCTTGGTTTAACTCCTTAACGTCACCCTGTTCCTCCTCTCTCTTTGACACCTCCCGCTGCTTCTCTTCCTCTCCATTTGAATGATTTTTCTCTTCCTTTAAGTGCTCCGTCCCTGTCTGTTTCTCCTCTTCCTTTATAATCTTCCCTTCCACTTGTTTCTTCTCTTCCTCTGTCTCCTCGCTTTCCTCCTGTTTATCCTCTTCCTTTATCTCCTTTTCTTCCTCCTGTTTCTCCTCTTCCATTATCATCTTTCCTTCCTCTTGTTTCTTCGCTTCCTTTATCACCTTTTCCTCTTCCTGTTTCTTCGCTTCCTTTATCTTCTTGACTTCCTCCTGTTTGTCCTCGTCTTTTACCTTCTTCCCTTCCTCTTGTTTCTTCGCTTCCTTTATCTCCTTTTCCTCCTCTTCTTTCTTCACTTCCTTTATCTCCTTTGCCTTCTCCTGTTTCTCCTCTTCCATTATCTTCTTTCCTTCCTCTTCTTTCTTCGCTTCCTTTATCTCCTTTACCTTCTCCTGTTTCTCCTCTTCCTTTATCTTCTTCCCTTCTTCTTGTTTCTCCTCTTCCTTTGTCTCTTCGACTTCCTCCTGTTTCTCCTTTTCCTTTATTGTCTTCCCTTCTTCTTGTTTCTCCTCTTCCTTTATCGTCTTCCCTTCTTCTTGTTTCTCCTCTTCCTTTAGCTTCTTCCCTTCTTCTTGTTTCATCTCTTCCTTTGTCTCTTCGACTTCCTCCTGTTTCTCCTCTTCCTTTAGCTTCTTCCCTTCTTCTTGTTTCATTTCTTCCTTTGTCTCTTCGACTTCCTCCTGTTTCTCCTCTTCTTGTATCTTCTGCCTTTCCTTCCCTTTCTCGTCTTCCTTTATTTCTTTCACTTCCATCTGTCTCTCCTCTCCCTTCAACTCTTCACTTTCCTCCTTTTCCTCTTCCTTTGACCTCACTTCCTCAGTCTGAGTCTCATTTCGAGAGAATATAGCTGACTCGAGACCACTTTCATTCCAACTGTATTTCTCTGACTCTGTTGTCTCACTCTGGACTGGCTGGAGGTTAATACTGCCGCTATCTCTCTGAGTTTCTGGAATAGTTTTCTCTAACTTGTGTTCCTCACCAACACTTTGAGTGGATCGCTGTTGCAATTGTGGGGAAACGGACTCCTGAACTGCACTCGTGTTCTCTTTCTGTGTTGTCGCTCTAGTCTCACCCTCCTCTCCCGTCTCACCCTGAAGTGTCTCCGCGTCTGGACAGTCAATCACAGCTAGAGAATCTGAACTATCGTCCTTGTTTCCGACGCTGTGAGCAAGTAGCGGTTCATCCTCATTGGAGACTGCTTCATGTCTCTCCTCAACTGCGCCCGACGACAACGAAGGCCGAGTCTTCCCACCGCTCGCCCCTCTGCCATCACTTTGTTCTGCTTGGTCATCAGCCGTCGGAATTTCTCGATGAAGGACACTTGTCTCTGCTCCATTCCCTTCACCTTCATGGCTACCCGTACCGGTTTTAATCTCATCGATGGATTCATCTACGTAATCAGTCTGATTTGGATTGTCTGCCCCTTCTTCCACCCCGTCCCCTGTTTTGTCCTCATGCTCGTCTACAGATTGCCCCTCGGAGTTTAAATTCAAAACCACAGAACTGGAGTCAGACCCAATGTTGGTGCCAGATTGTGTATGTAAATCCTGATCATTGCCACTTGCAGTTTTGCTCTCGTCTCCGACTGCCTCTCTGTTATTACCCTCTGCCTGGTTTCCTATTGGTTTGGACATCTGATGAGCTTTACCCTCCATTTCTGTAGATTTATCATTCTTGCGATTATCTGAAACATCGTCATCCTTTTTCTCCTTACTGCTGTTGAACATTAAAGACAATCCACCCTTAGTCTGGGAAGGTTTCTCTAAATCGGTCTGAGGAGGAACATCATGAAGGTCGACCTTGGTTGCTGCATCTTCAGTGGAGACACTTTCCTTGGTGCTGTCTGAAGAACCAAGGTCGTTGTTTTCAGCATGGACTTGGATCTCTGATGCGACATTCTGGTCTGGTGCAGTTTCTTCCACCTTTGATTCATTACTAGTTTCTGTCCCTACTTCCCCTGTCAGTGCACCTTGAGATTGACTGACATCCAAGTTCTCTGAGTCTGTCAGAGGCTCAAAGGTTTTGTTCTCCTCTGTCTCCTTAAAACTACTTCCTGCCCTCTCATCAACTTCCTTCTTGTCTTCTCCGAAGCCTAAAATGTCCTTGATCCCCATATCCAACCAAGAACCAGGAGCCAGCTGTTCCTCCTCCTCCTGGTCCGTCTCTTTGGCCTCTCTTTCAGGTGTCAGGCCGAACCTCAGCGTGTTTGACAGTCTGCTTCCCAGCCAATCCAGTGTCCCGGTCTCTTTCTTCTCCTCTTCGTGCAATTGGCTTCCATCTAGATCCAGAGACATCCTCCTACTCCTGAATCTCTCTGCTGGTTCTTTGTCATCTTCTCTTTTGTCATCTTGCTCTTTTTCTGCTGTTTTTGTCTCTCCTCCATAGCCGAGCCACCCAGTCATGGTTGCTGTGAAAAAATCTCCATTTTCTGTGTTTGCTTCTCTACTTTTCAAGACGTCATCCGGTTTCGGGTCTCCCCCCAACCCCAGCCGTTCTGTCACGGCAGAAGCTTTGGCCCGGTTCTCCGTTGTCTCCTCTTTCTTCCCTCCTTCGTCCTCCTCAGCCAGACCTAACCATCCTGTCACTGAGGAACCGAGCCAGGAAGAAGAGGGGGCAGACCCACCTTGTTCCCTCAGAGCCGCCGGAGTCTCTCGCGCACCCTCGTCACTCCGAGAAGCTGCGTCGTCAGCACTTTTGCCTTCATCCTCTTCTGCAGGGGTGGACACTGCCGAAACTGGAGATCCTGTGGAGGCCTCTTCAGATGTCGAAGGACTCTCAGTGCTTGTGGCACGGGGAAATGGAGATGTTTGGGTGGTTTCAGACACCTGGTTTTTCTGATCATCGTCAGCATCATCGTCCAAATGACTGGAGTCAATGAAGTAACCAAATTCATCGATGCAAAAGAAATCGGATTTCTGAATCAAGAGAGGATATGAGGAGGAAGAACAGGTTCAACGTTAGTATTTACTTGGGCTTTAAGACGGTAACACATCACAGTATAACATATGTTTTAAATTCATTATCAACCACACGCTTCTGTCTTCATGAAAGGGAATGATTTGATGAGACCACAATCTGAAGAGCTATTGAAATCAAAGCCTATTTACCTGAGTTTCCACTATTTTCTCCGAAGTAGCGTAGACCTGCTCCTCTTGCACCGCTTCCTTTGGGAAATAGCCAAACTGTTTGTTAATCTGAAAGCAAAAGAAAGCAGTTTTTAAGCCAACAGCAGTATTGTGGACAAATGGAGGGAAGCAGCACGCGGCTATCAACAGGAGAGGACACGAAAAACGGACAAAAAATGAAGATGAAGTACATTCAAGGCATTTTCTTAAAAAGTTTCCTTCCTCGTCTCAGGTTCCTCGGCTATGATTTCATTTAAGTGGACATTTGTTTGAAACATTAAAAGGTAGATTCACATTGATTCTTGTCTCTGCCTTGCCTTAAGTCACTCAGTGCAGTAACAGGGATTTTGAGTAATTCACGGGTCACTAAGGTTTGAAAAAAAAGTGGTTTATCATTTTAGGAAAATAATTTACCCTTTAAATCTGGTAAATAGTGATACTGGGTCAGCATATTCATTCATTTTTTCATCATTATGATACCAAGACTGGCCAATCAGTGCTGAGAATCATCTGTATTATAATCATGTCCAATCTGTTCAATGTAGAACCTCACACAAGGGACTGTTTAAGACAAGATATGGAGCTCAGACTCACGCTGCCTGCCCAGAGGTCTTCTCTCTTTCCGGTCAGTTTTTGGTAAACAAAAATGGTTTCCCCTCGTCTGAAGCTCAGGAACCGACAGTCTTTGCCTTGGTGGTCCCTGGTGGCCTGTGCTCTGCTCAACAGGCCTTCACACACACAAGATTACAACATTAAAATATACACACACACCCAAACAAACTTGTAGATTATCATCATAAATACAGAAAATACAGACTCAATTACATATAAACTGTGTTACGAACTACAATATAATATTTAAAAACTTACTTTCACACTCAGTATCTCCACAGATCTTGTAGTCAGACAACAATCCCAGACTGAAGTGAGGTAAAATCACTAAAACTATGCATGTACCCCACAGAATCGTGCATGTCTGTGAAAAAGCCATTGTTGTTGTTTTAAGAGGAGTGTGTTAATAGGAAATGTCCATGCTAACTCCGAAAGAACTGCGGCCAGCTGTGCTGGCAAGTGGACATTGACTCTAAGCTGCTGCTGTCATGAAGACTCAATGGTGAATGAGAGAGACGAGATAAGAAATAATGCTAGTGAGGATAATCATTAACATCCAAGAGCTGTTTGGCAATGCAGCATTATCTGGACACTGTTCAAAGGTTTTGTACATTTTTCAAATTTTAACTTCTATTTGGGTTCAACATCACAGACGAGCTTCCACAATGGACATCTCACCGTGGAATACATTTAAAAGAACATAGCGGCTGATTATTATTATCTTTTATCAGGCTAAGTCGTGGACCCTTTGTGGACTTCAGCCTAACTACATCACCATAACAACCAGCACAGCGCGCAGGGATTCGACGTCATCACTGCGCGCTCCCAATCAAGATGGCTTCCTAGTTTGGGAGACTGGCACAAGTGTTTGATACGCAACAACATTCGAGCCCACATGTCTTGAGAGAAGTCGGCTTTCGCTTGTTTTCAACATGAAGTCGGACGTGGAGGAGTTAATGCCGAGGCTGCTGCCCGTTGAGTTCGGAGCCGCTTCAGAGGACCTGGACCCGAACGGACCGCCGAGAAACCCCCGAGAGTACCTGCGACAGGTCCAGTGAGTTCCCCTCAATAACTAACGTTGACCTCATTGAACCCAATGATATAACTGTACTGCGACAGCCACAAAACATGTTGTATGTTTATATTGAATGCTTCCACGCGCACTCAACTCTCCTCCGATTGAAAGTGTTTATTTTTTATGTGAGTGCGTAATTGTATGAAGACGGTGTTATGTGAGTTTGATGTGCTCTCCGGCAGGCTGGAGGCGTCTCTGTGCCCGGAGGTGGTGGTTGCTCACATCGACCCCAAGAAACTGAAGAAGAAGCAAACAATTAATGCCTCTGTGAGTAAATGCTCACACAAAGGGGGGGCGGTTACAGTGCAAGAAGTTGCATGTCTTCATGGTCCTCTTTCATTTTGATGCTGTTTATTTGAGTAACTCTATCAGAATGAATCATCTCCTTTAAATCTTTTTTTTTTTAATCTACAAATCCAATCACTATTGTTTTAGTAGCCACACTGTTAATTAAAAGTATGAAGTTTCAAGGGATGCACGGAGGATGTTGGGGTGGATGGAAGGATGTTGGGATGGATGGGGCGGATGTTGGGGTGGATGAGAGGATGTTGGGGTGGATGAGAGGATGTTGGGGTGGATGGGGGGATGGGGGGATGTTTGGGTGGATGAGAGGATGTTGGGGTGGATGTCGGGGTGGATGGGATAGCCTGTGTGTTCCATTCCTCCATGAGGTGTCTCGTGTGTGAAGGTGGCGGGCTGCCATGCGGCTCCAGAGGGGTTCTCCCCCAGCCTCAGCTGGCAGCAGCATCAAGTCGGTAACTTCTCAGATGTCCGGCAGGTAAACTTCAACCCATAAGACACTTTCGAGTACTTTATTTACTTTAGTACACACAATTGAAAAATACCATGTGTACATTTTAAACAACCAAAACCCCAACGCAACGTTTACCTGTTTTTAAATGTGTGTTGTAACGGTGCCGATTGGCAGGGTAATTGAATACCCTCTTTTCACGCAACATAAGAATCCCTTTCAACAATCCAATTATTTGTGGGTTCTGTCTTTTGCATTCAGAGCATCACAAAGAACCGGAATCACTGGAGCAACCACACTCTGGATGACAATGTGCTGATGGTGAGGAGATGGCAAGTTCATTAGCGTCAACCGATCCCCTTCACGTTGGAGGCGTCACCTCGAGAGCATATGTCTATGGTGATCACTGGAAACACCTGTATTTGTTATAACTTCACATTTGTATGCGTGTGTGTGTGTGTGTGTGTGTCCCACAGCCAAAGCTCACGGATGAGGAGGGCTGGAAGAGGTTCTGTTTAGGGGAGACGGTCTATCTGGGCTCCTGCAATACAGATGGTGAACCAGAGGCGGCGCTGGACTACCGCAAGGTTGGATGAACTATTGGGATTTACGATTGAACCTAATTTTTCAGGTATGCTGTATATATGCTAATAAACCGCGTGTCTGCTCAGGTGGGCTTCCCGCCCTTCCTCACCATTGTCAGCAGACTGAACCAGGTGAGCAGCCTCCTCCTCTTCACCCACGTAGCTCACTATCTCAAATCAGTTCAAGTGTCTTGATTACGCCCTCCCCTCGCCTCGCCTCTCTCTGCGTGTCGTCAGTCCACAGTGCTGATGGTGATGGAAGTCCTGATTGGCTGGTTTGAGGAACACGAGTTTGCGCCGCAGTTGGTGAGTTCACGTTGTTGAGTTGCTCCTCGTTTTGTTTTGTTTTTCAAATTGTTTTGCCGACTCCTCACGTGCGATATGCACCGGTTCGCTGGTCTCAGGGTCGCTGGCTGTACGCCCTGTTGGCCTGCTTGGAGAAGCCTCTGCTGCCCGAAGCCCACTCCTCCATCCGACAGCTGGCCAGGAGATGTGCTCAGCTCCGCAGCACACTGGTACGACCCCGTTTGTGCGTCAAACTATCGGTGGCTGCTTTGGCTTCATTGTTTCTCGCAGCTCGTGCCACATACCATGAATCCAAAAAAGTTGTATTCCGGTAGAAGAACCATCACTGTACTTTTTAAAAAATGTGCGCCATTCACAGCCGGGACTGTTCTTTTTGATTCCACAGGACAGTCAAGGGGACGAGAAACTGCCTGCCCTCAACCTCCTCATCTGTCTTGTTGCCAGGTAACTACCACTGTGAACACTTACAAACGGCATGGTAGTACAAAATGTAAACTCTGGTGTCTCATTTGACCTCTTTACTTACGATTCCATTACTATTCCAAAAGAACTTATTGTTCTTTTTACATAATGTACTAAACCACTGGCAAAGAGTATGATCTTGTGTAGATAACAAGAGTCGATATATATTTTTTTGTTGTCGCTATAGATAAAACCGATGCGCTGCATGCACGATCCATTACTTTTTCCTTCCTGCAGGTACTTTGAGCAGAATGACCTGGTGGACCAGCCGGAGTGAAATGTTCAGACGTACAGGAGGAATGTGTGGCATCCTCTCAGTGAAACATATGGAGACTCCTAAAGCAGCGGAGAACTTTCCAACCACGAGGATGCGAACTACGTTGAGAGTATCGCTCAAAGACCGGGGTTATCTCGTCGTACCAAGTCGTTTGGATCTCCGCTGATGTTACAGGACAACGACCAAAGCATGAGATAATCAGTACTTGTAAATTGAGTTCTGGGGTTTGTGGATGCAAGTGTTTTTCTATTAAACTAAAACAGACTACTTACGAGGCCCTCATCATTGATCCAACAGACCATTTGAATAATTGTGAAATTGACCATGTTAAGAACAGTCTAAGTAAATGTGATGTCAGGATTAAGCTTAGTTCTGAAAGCAGAAGGTGCTTTGCTGCTGAATTACTCAAAACGTAAGGCATACATTTACCTAGCGTTGCAAAGGGGCGGGAGGTTCTGGTAAATTTCCAGAAGGTTTCTGGAAAGTTTGCATAGGAATCTTTGCTCGGGAATTTAGAAAAAAGTTTTTTGCAAAAGCATATAACAGAGAACTTAAATGTAGAACACGACTATGCAGCATAGCTCAGCTGGAGCCTGGATGCAGCTGGTGGGGAATCTCGTCTGCCAGAAACCTAAATGTAAACATAAAACGTAGCACTTTGGGATTTTCTTAAATATAAAGTGCATTACAAATTAAATGTATTAAAACGTTTTTGAACGTCTGTCATTACGGAGCATATTAATTCCTTGGCAAACCGAAGCCATGTTCATTTTAATACGTTTATTTGTATACAGTAGTGTAGGATGTACATATGCCCACACAAAAGTGCACCATCACCTCAATTAATCAGCTTTCAGGGTCCATCAAAAGCGCGAGTTGGGCACCTTATCACTATCATTTAAGCACAAGGACATCGACTCAGGTAAGTTTATATTATTGATGAGACAAACAAGCTGCTAGTCAACAAACTGACAGCTCATCGTTGGAGAAAAGCTCAATGTATCAATTGTAAGCTGACATAAGACGGGCATGGCTACTGTGAGTGGAGGTACAGTACGATAGCGGTCTGACTACCTTGATATCTCGTCAAGACAGCTGTCTGACATATTTTTACGGGTGAAGGTCTCAAAAAAACCTTTAACGGTCTTTAAAGATAGTTGCGGGGCTAATGTAATTTATAAAAGTATTAGAAATGTTTGCATGCATGTCGGCTTATGACAACGTAAATACAGTAAAATTACCCCAAAATGTGCAGTTAATTCTGTGTAAAGTTTCCAACTTTGAATATTCCCGGAATTTTGCAACCCTACTTTTACCACAGCAACACGCCGTCTCATCTGGTTTGCACTTAGTGGAACTAGTATTTGTATTTCAAAATGACCCAGTCGAGAGTCTGGGACGAGTTAGACCGCACAGCCAACCAGGCTCCGCACATCTGGGAACTCAAGACATAAACCATTACAAGATCACTACTTGTCTTGGATAATTGGAATGTTAAAGGAGGGCAGCTTAGACTTCGGGGAGATTTATTTTGGCAATTGGTCCAATCCCTGCAACAATGAATCCGATTCAGGTGATACTGAAAACCGTTGCAGACCCAATGTCTGAAAATAAAATGCACACACAACGTATATTTCACCTTTTAATTGAAGCAAATTTGACGGTACAAAAAAAATGGAAAAAACATTTTCAAAAACCAGCTTTTGGGCTAAATCACACACACAGGCCCACGTGGTGAAGATACACGTCTTGACATTGATCAAAAGGGTGGAAACAGGCTGAACAGCATCGTCATGTCAACTTGAAATCACTAGTGCAAGTTAAAGTTACAGCGACTAGTGCGATGAGACGCGTTGCACGAGCCTGTGGCGTCACGAATAAGATGAAACTTAACATTCAACGATCTTCGCCACAAAGAGCTTTTCATAACTCAGATGTCGGAACGAAGACAAAAATGACAACTAAAGGAAGTCTCGAATAATTTTGTCTGTCGCACCTGTTTGATTCTAAAAACAAGATATCCATGGTTCTCAGTTCCTTTTTGACATCAACTTGTAAATCCCTAAACTGAGAAAATAATTAATCATGTTAAAACCTCAAAAAGGCCTTTGTGACATTTTAAGGGAAAATGCTCAATTAAAAACGTTATAGCGTATTTTCCACCCGTTCAGCGCCTCTTGTCCTTCCTGTCTCTCTCTTTATGCTCCCTATCGCTACGGGACGACCGGGGCCTTCCTTCCTCGCTCTTCTTCTTCTTCTCCTTCTCCTTGGGCCCCTTCGAGTCCCTGCCTCCTCGCTTGCGGTTACCCTTCTCCTCTCCTTTTTTCCGATCCCGGGCCTTGTCAGACGGCCTCCTCTTGCGCTTGCTGCCGTCTCGGCTGCGACTTCGGCTGCTGGACGATGAGGACGAGGACGAGGACGAGCTGGAGGAGCTCGACCCAGAGGACGATGAGGAGCCTGAGCTGGAGGAGGAGCCGGAGGAGGAAGACGACGAGCTTTTGCTGTGGCCGCGACTCTTCTTTGGCTCCTTTTCCTTCTGCCTCCCTCTCCCACTGTCCTCCCCCTTAGAGGGCGCCGGGGGGGCGCCGAGTGCCTCCTGGGAACCGGGCAGTTTTTGGGGAGCCTCGTCCCCTTGTTTCTCCTCCACAACCGGCTTCTCTGGTGCCCTGTTTTGGACCTCGGGGCCAGGGATGACATCCTGCCCCGGCTGCGGGGGGGCCGCCTGGGGCTCTGGGGTTGGAGCGGACGCCGTGTTCTCGGAGGGCTTTACTGCCGGCTCCCCCGCGGTGTGGCCGAGCTGGGGCTGGCGGCCCGGGTTTGCTGCGGCTGCTTCAGAGGACTGGGCGTCCTGGCGCTTCTCACTTTGGAGGTCAGTGGGCCCCTGCTCACTAAACTGTTTCTTCCTCCTTTCCCTCCCTCCTGTCCACCTGCTCTGGCCCACCCCCCACCTCCATCTCCTCTGACCCTGAGCTTTCCTCCTTCTGCCCCATGACCTCTACGTCTTTAATCCCCTCCTCCCCTACCTTCTTCTCATCCTCCTCCTCCTCTTCCTCCTCAATTAACTCCACCATCTCCACCTCGTCCTTCTTCAACACTTCCTCCCCTTTGTTGTCCTCCGCTGTCACCTTTCTGTCTCCCTTCTTTTCCCTGTCCTCCTCATCCTCCTCGTCTTCCTCGTCCTCCATCTCTACATGCCCCTTGTTACCTGTCCCCTTGACTACCTGACCCGTGGGCTTACCCTCCGCCGAGTGGTCCATCCCTGACGCTGCCATGTGTCCGTCCTGGTCGCGGTTTGGTTGCCTGCGGGGGCGGGCCTCCATCTTGCTGAGATGTTCGGTAAAAGCCTCGCGCCTCTCGTCAAACACGGCTGTGGACAAAAAGAACCGCACAAGCCACAAAGCGACACACACATTCCGTCAGTACAAACAACGCATGGACAAAGTGCCTCTGGATAAAAGAACCCCACTGACCATTTAGTTTCTTGGTGGAGTCATCGAGGAGTTTTTGTGTGGCGGAACAAATTTTTCCAGGTACAAAGAAGATGTGAGGCTTGGTCTTTGTACGAATGAATTTCACCAGATGATTGTTGTGGCTGTTCCACTCCTCTTGCTGACAATGGAGGAAAGAGAAGGTTAAATAAAACTTTAGATCTCATGATTTATATGCTGTCATTTTCCAACCCGTTGCTCTTTCTTACCAGCTGAGCTAATTCCACTTTCTGTTCCAGCAGTTTCAGCTCAGTCTGTTTGGCTCTCCGCTCTTCAAACAGCTCTCTCTTATCACTCTCGGCCTTCTTTTTCTCAGCCTCAGCCTGAACCTCGAGCTTCTGCTCGATCTCCGTACGACGCTTTTGCTGCAGGGGGGACAGAAGATGCAGAGACGGGATGAGGTCAAGCGGAAGATTGAACACCGCAGCAGCGACTTGAGGGACACTCGGCCACCAGTTCCCACGGCATTGTAACTATGCTATTGTGAACCGAATCGACACGATATGAATATATACAATATAAAGAGCAATGACAGTCAAACCAAAGGGTTTTGCAGACTGGTCTCAGTGAAAAACGACCAGCACAGTCAATAAAAACATAATTATATGAAAATATTTAAGGAGCATATTTGTATCTTTGTGCAGTTCAGGACGTCTGTAAATTGACCTCTACTGCCGACCTCAACGGCCAACACATCACCAGTGAACGGACGGCGCTTCCTCACCTTCTCTGTGGAGACGTGGGACTCTTGTTTGAACTTTTGCAGGGTCCCCATCAGCAGGCCGAACATACGCCGGTTCCTGAACAAGAGCACAAACCCGCCATCACACACACGACGGCCAACTTTCAGATGTACGACGACGAACATGGCCCGCTTTGAGTCAGGCGCCGCTGGCTTCCCTCCACCACCGAGGGTCATGGCGGCTCTCAGCTGGTGCCGGCCTACCTCTGTTTGCCCCGCTCATCCATGGTTTGATCTTGGATGAGGTCCCTGCGTGTTCTCTCCTTGGAGGTAGCTACCACGGACGATTGCAACGCCGGCTGAAAGAAAACACGACGGGCAGGAAACCCGTTTGTTCAGTCCGAAAAGCTTTAACAACAGCTAATGTTGTTAAACTGAACAGAAGCGATTAAATCCTTATTCCAAACCTTTTTGTCGTCGTCATCATCGTCAGCGTCGCTGTCCTGCCGCGCGTCTCTCCTGGCCCTCTGGTCCCCCGCCAACCTGCAGGAAAACAAAGATAAGACACTCGGACGCCACATCTTCTGCCTCAATGTAGCGAGCTGTCAGCTGTGGATGACATCGGTCAGGACAAACAGAATCCAGGTAATTTGATTCTGAACCCAGTGGCACATAAAAACCACCTCGGACCGTTTGGAGCTCTGTCAGAATGAAATGATTTGAACTGGATAAATTTGATTGTCAATTGAGTGGAAGTTGATTTATTTTACTATTCTACTTAACTTGCCTGCTCCTTTCAGCAGGTTTGATTTATTTAGTCATTGGATCATCGTGAGATGGTGTGCAGAGTTGTTAGCATGATTTTGAATCTCACCTCAGCAGAGCTCCTTCAATGTCCCTCTGCTTGGCAGGGGGGCCGCCGCTTCCCATGTCTGAGAGACTGCGCCTGCGACGGACAAACACGCGGCGGTTAGATGCAACCAGCAACTTTGAAACAATCAACTCACTGAGACTTTCCAGCCACTAAGAAGACCTTATTTTCCAAGTCATAGTTTCACAAACAAAAACAAGTTCACGTATACAGCAGATTGTTTAGTTAACTTGTCAAAAACTTTAGCCTTTATGACCCGGTCCAGTTGCCATAGAATGCTTTTGATTCTCGCCTTGACTGATGTTACTTATGCGGGAAGAATCAAACGTTCTTAAAGGGGGGAAAAAGGAGCGCTTCTTCCAAAGCAAGAGCAAATCCAGCCTCCGTCAGTCTGATTCAAAAGAAAAAATCCACGCACCCATCGACCATCACAAAATGGAAGATAGAGTAGCTTGGGGTGGAGGAAGACACTCGAACTTGCCGACAACAAAGTAAACTAACACGGCAAATACTTCTGACTTAATTAAGGGGAGTGAAATGGAATCTAATGGAATGAGTCAGTTGTGTTTTGTTTTCATTTCATATACAAATCCCAAATAAGTATATTTATTATTTTTAACAGAAAGGTTCAATATTATTTCACAAGTTTTAAAAAATGCTCCCAATTTCTTATAAAATGCCCCTGGTTTTCAGTCAGTGGGGGCTAAAATTGCCCCCTAAATATGTCAATTTCCTCCCCTGCATCATACATTCATGAGTTAGGATGTTCAGTTTCAACTGTTGGCTGATGAGTCCATTTCATTGATCATTCATTTTTGTGCAGTTAAAAGTAATATATTAAAAAGGCGTGTTCAGTTTACAGTCTGAATATTGAGTGCACACAATTAAAATATAAACAAGTTTTCAGTTAAATTGACAGGTTATTAATTAGCCCAAATCAAAATTGTGCCTTAAAGATCGGAGAAGAGATGGACCAAATTTCCCAGGTGTTTTTTCTAATTCAAATGAGTTTGCTTGAGAGCGATGACGATAGTGAAAGCTTACCTGAGCAGGTTCAATCCCCTGCCTCTACCTCCACCCGGGCCTGCCATGGGGCCGCCGAGCCGACGGTTCTGACCCGGCCTGCAAACACACAAAGAAAATCACGTCAGGGGAAGTCTAGAAGCAGAAACATCTGTTTGAAGTAACGAAAGCGGTAACGGCCAACTGGGGCGACACCCAAACTGCGCCTGCGCGGCCTTGCACAGTCGGCGTACTTCCACTGCGAAATGAATAGCAGGTGTTCATCCCGGATTGCTTTTACTAGCTTAGTGTGGCGAATGTCAGCCGTTTGGACCTTGCTTTGGCGACCGCCTGTAAGTACCTCACGCGCAAAACTACGTGCCGAAATGGTGATGTTTGCTAAGTAGCTAACCGACTAGTGCTAGCAATTCTAGCTAGCGTTAGTCACTTGAATGGAAGAAGTCTGGTCAGCTTATCATATAAAGACATATATGTTTTTTTACCTTGACTCATTAGGGTCACGTCCCGTCAATTTACGAATATGATCGTCCACATTTTTCAGGCTTTCTTTTGCTTTTTCGAGCTGGTCTTGCAGACTCCGCACTACCACCGCCATCTTGGAATCCAGTTAGCGCGAATCACGTGGTTCTTCTTCTTCTTCTTCTTACCCACGAGGGGCCTTTTTTTCTTTCTTAGAAAGTGGCGGCAGGGATGCGAGGTTGCAGCGCACTACCGCCACCTTCAGCTCAATAGTTTCTTTGTATCCGGAAAGCGCAAATTCATAATTTATTAGTTTAAATTCACCTATTGACAAACACACGTACGCATTATAAACCTCTTGAACCCCAAATCAACTGAAAAATAAGCATCTCACTAACGAAACCAATGTAAATGCCCAAGACCACGTCCAATTGTGTGTTAAATCATAGTGGGACATTTCACATTGTGATTTACCTACCATAAGCAAAGCATCAAACTGCACTTCTGCAAATTACTTCGTTATAATATTTTGTTAAACCAAAATACTTTGGTATTTTTCAACTTTCGAGTTGAGAAAGTACCCACTTACTGTTTGTTATCTTCACGTTAACTGTGGGTCTCTCAAACGACTTGTTACAGCTTAATTGACACCAAAATATTAATCTAATTACCATGAACTAAACAAGATATTGTCTGAGCTCTGAACAAGGCAGGGAACCAAGTACAATTGGCATACAACCTTAGAAAAATGCCTTTCTGCATATTGAAGATTTATTTTTTCATGTGCTGTTTTTGGCTTCATACAGTGGCAAAAGTTTTTTACTAGACTCCTACATGCTTTGTAGGTGGGAAAACCTGCAAAATTGGCAGTGTATTAAATACTTGTTCTCCCCACTATTTGCTATCCTGATCTATGGCCTCCATGCTTTTAGTGAAACTTTATATATACTTGTGCAACAGTTAAATAGTAATTCATTATTTCTGATATCTGAAGTATTGAAGATGCCATTTTTTCTCTGCATTTGTACCCTATATTTCTACAGATTTGGTTTGTTGGGTTAGTCAGTCAGCATCCATCTTCCTGCCCTCTTTCGCCTCCATTTCCCTTATGCTGTGTTGTCATGGCAACAGAAGCTGAATGTCATTTATAAGTGTTTTAAATTGCCCAAGAGGAAAATCCTTGCAGTGTGCAGATGTGTGACCCTTGCAGTGTGCAGATGTGTGACCACTCCTTTCTGGAGAAGAGTTCATGTTTCTGGTATTCCCTCATCAGGCTCAGGTAGAGTCTGTTATCTGTAACCATGGTTACATATTCTACGTGGTCAGCGCTAAAAGGTTTTCAGCTGAAGGTAAATAAGACACTGGCAGCAAACAACTTTTTTAATGCTTTTATTCACTGACTAAAAGAGAAGCATTCATTCAACATTAAGTCAAATTAACATTCGGCATATTGACACCCCCCCTCAAGTAGACGCCATGAGTCAGCAAAGAGGTTTTACATGGAGGTTTTCTCCTCAACCGAACCATGGATCAACACTACAATAAAATGTGTCCTCTCAGCCAGAGAGGATTCTTTCCCTGCAGACTAAAAAAAAAAAAAGGAGACAAAAACCAACCAACAGCTGCAACGGTTTCAAATCAGAGTTTTGTATTATTTCAGAATTACATTGAGAGCAGTTGAACAGACGTAGATTGAGCAGAGTTCTCACCAGAGTCGTTCTCGCGTACAGGCAAACAGAGGCCCGTTGTGGGAGTGGAGCTTTTCTCTGGTGTTCAGAACAAGTCTTAATCCACGCCGCCGCTCGGCCATTTGTGGATCGGGTTGGAATTTTCTGCATTCAAAAGATGCTCCACGTGACCTGAAAGCAGGTCCAGCTGTGTTTTTTGGCTTACGTCTGCTTTCCTCCCTACAGAGAGGACCCACTGCTATGTGCTCACTTTAACAAAAACACTCACACAGGAACAGAACGCTCAGAATATTCAACATTAAGGATGGTAAAACCATTTTCGCACAAACACACACGACGAAGTAGCTTCGCGGATTTAAAAGTCGGTGTGACTTTATTTTACACTTGATGTTCATAAATTGAATCCGGACATGTGTTGCATAAGAGTATACCACGGTAATGCATTGTTGATACCTAATACAAATATGCACTGTGTGAGTTTTTATATTTATATATATATATCTCTCTCTATATAGATCTATTTATACTTCTTCTTCTATGGTTTTCTAAAGACGCAGCCGAGGCGCTGTCAGCACTGCTCGTGCCCCTTTGTGGCCACTAGTAAGACTGCTGTTATTGCAAACTGTCCTGATTTTAAACAAATGCACAACATTCGTACCACGATAAAACTGGGGCCGTCTAGCCGGTCTCACGGAGACCAAGAGGGAGCCCGCCGCTGCCGGGCTTGCTGACCAGAATCAATCAAGATCTCAAGAAAAAACTATAAAACGAGAAGATATCACGAATCATTAAAAACGCCAAGCATTGTCGTTGCAAGTTCTGGCTGGTTTGCGTCTCCATTTATACTGTGCGAGCAAAGAAAAACGGACAAAAGAATTCAATAACTAGAGACGAGTGTGGGCTATATGCTTTCCTCTTGCATAGTTGTGCGGCGGGACTGGTTCCGGACATGACGAGCGAGGCCGCGTTCAGCAGCGTGTCGGAGCCTCGTAGCTGAGCTCTGAATGAAGACAGTTGGCCGATACTCAGCGCGGATATCTACCGGTTCCCTGGTGTAGCCGGGCGCTTCACGGCAAGGGAGTTTGGCCAGGTCAATGCGATCATGTTGTTACTTCCTAAACAGTGTGGCAAGTTGTATGACAACACTTCACCGCTATGCTGAGATCTAGGTTGTAAACAGGCTGGGAAGAAAAAAAAACACTGGTTGAAATACAAAAACTGGAAAACCCAAACTTCCTGCGAGGCTTTAGAGGCCTTTTTTCTTCTTCTGGGTGCCGTTGGCGGAGATCAGATCCGGCCGCGCATACTTCCATCGATATGTTACACAGGACTGATTCCGCACAGGTGCCGTGCGCATCCGGTGTTTGACAAGATTCTGAGAAAGCGAGAGAGAACCAAAGAGATTCTTCACAGTCCGCTCAAAGTCTGGTAGTAATTTGTAGTCTCAGCGTTTTGGTAAACAAACACAACTGAAAGCGTCTGATAATCTGACGATGAGAAAACCACGTCTCTTCATTCGGAGACAAGTCCCTGAACCATCACACCACCTCTCTCTACATCCCTCTTAGGTCTACTCTCCAAATCATCCCGGTACAAACTCTGCAGCTGGCAAAGATCCAAGTGGAATTAAACTGGTCCGGTGTGCATCTGCCTGACTGATGCAGGTCTGACAGACGGCTGCTTTGGTACTAAAATAACACACGTCTGATCCATCCACGTCAAAGGTGGAGGTATCGGCTATCGGGGAGGAGCACAGCAGGCGTTAAACCAAATCCTTTGTATGTGGCGCTGGTAGGACAGACGGACCCAGATCGACCGTGTTACTTAATAAGCCGCCCAGACCGACGGCTTCTGATGCCACTAGATTACAGGCAAGCTGCGGATTCAATTACGCAGAGCTCTGATATCATCCCAGCGCTCTATGAATGCATAGAATAAGCAGGTCAAAAGGGCAGAATGTTGGCTGGGACCACATCAATGCACAGTAACTGCTGATAATGGTCTCCCAAGTAACCGAAGCCTCGCCTCAACCCCCCCGGAGCCATTTTAAACCCGGCTCTGTCCGTCGGTCACACAGTCCTCTTCTGAATGTGCGGCGGGCCTTGCGTGTGAACTCGTTGCGTCTGTTAAAAACACAGACCGGTGTTCTTTAACCTAGCCGGTTAACCCGATCACTTCATGGAAAGCTAGTTCCTGTTTTAGTGCACTTCACACTCGAGACCTTTTGTGTACCGGACACAAAAAAAAGAGGCGTGGAACTCGGGCCCGGGATGCTGAAGGGAGGACGGAGCCACACTTTGAATAACCGCCTCTAAAAAACGCCCTGCGCTCTGCTCAGACCAGCTGCCGATGCCCTTGGTTTGGTCGATAATAGCTGCGTCCCAGATCTCTTCCAAATAAACACACACACACACACACACACAAAAAGAAAAACACCACGCTGCATATTTTACAAAAAATATAGCAAATATTTACATAGTCTAACTTTCATGTGGACACAACTAGCTTTGTAGCAAACGGTTGCCCCAGGTGGAATGTCCCGTTCCTAGCAGCAAATCACGTCACAGGGACTTAAAAACACTTCACGGCACGTTTGCTCACCTGTGCCCCCCCCCCCTCCCCCCATCCCCTCAGAGAGGCTGCAACCGGTCAGAGTAGCATTGGGATGAGCCAGATTGAACCCACTCTGTGGACTCCTTGTCTTGTACATTTACATTAGCTTCTCACAGGGGAGCAGGTTACGGGGGGCACGGTGGGGGGGCGGTAATGCGGCGGCCCGGGACGCTCTGCGTCCGCCTCTGGACTGGAAGACGCCTGTCTTTTTGCTCTGTGAGACGCGACAAAGCCGCTGACCCTCGGTAACCAACACATGCTGGTCATAACCATCAGACTGCACTTGTCACAACACGCAGTCTCCAGCTGGGGGGGCGTTTGCGCTTTGGTCTCCCTTCACGCCTCCACGTGAACAGAGTGTCACCACTGAGAGGGAGGAAAGAAAGCACTGGAAGGAAGTGTGGAGCAGGGAAGCAAACTGGACCGGCCTCCGGCCAGCGTGTGCGTACGTGGGCACTTCAGATAGACTCGTGTCTGTTCTACTGTGGTCTTTGGCAGCGTAAAGAAAACACACCAAGGAAGGAGAACAGATCCAGTGACTCCTATTGTTTGTGTGCGTGAGCGAGAGGCCTGAGCGCTGGTAACCTTCCTTCCTCAATCTCCTCTTTTTGTACCCTGAGAACAAACAAAAGATTCCCCCTCCTTCCCCCCTAAACGAGATGCCATCACTCAAATATATATAGATATATATATATATTTATAGATACACACACACACACACACACACACACACACACACTTTACAATTGGGAGTGTAATATATATATTTTTTTTATTCTTCTCTAGCTGACTTTTGTCTGTGAAAGAAATAAAACATTCAGGGCAGGAAAAGGGCGGCGCTGGTGATGTGACTTCTAGTGTGGAACCAATAACAGTTAAGAAGACAAGAGTCAGGAGGACACACACACACACACACACACACACAGTGGAGTTTGTAAAATTATCTTTTTAAAATAACTTTAGTAAAAAAATAAACTAAATGGATTTGCCCTCAAATCAGATGACACATTCTGCGGTAGATGTCTCCCCTCTCAGTCAGGTGATCCACACCCGACACAAATCTCTAAAAAGATCATTAAGATAAAAAAAACATGAAAATCTGAACCACATTTTGGTCTAAATGTGTCCGTTGGGCTTTGCTCTCCCCGCTGAGTGTGCAGCTCTGTGTGCAGCCACACAAGGCCGTTAAAAGAAACTCCTGGTACCAGAGCACATTTATCCTGAGATACGGACCGAGGACCATAGAGATTCATCATGGCTAAACCATCGAGGTCCCTTAACACACGAGCCGACGTCTGGTAACACGGGGCCCTCACACGGGGCCCTCACACGGGGCCCTCACACGGGCCCCTCACACGGGGCCCTCACACGGGGCCCTCACACGGGGCCCTCACACGGGGCCCTCACACGGGGCCGCGCTCTGAACCGAGCAAAGTGGCGGCACACCGAGGAAGATCCGTCTACGTAGAATAACAAAATAAATACAAAATGAATCACTGGTCAGCCGTGTAACCTACTGACCTCCATATGGACCGTCACAGTCTGCGATGCCATTTCCCCCCCGAACCCTCTAAAACTCGGCAGGTGTGCAAAACAAGTGAGCCAATGGGGAGGGGGACGCTCTTAAAAATAGGGCCAGTGACAGCATTTAGTGAGGGCATCGAGGCGCTTGGATTTTCCCCACTTGAATCCCAACTTGCTGAAGGAACGCCTCGAGGATTTTTCCTTCCCCCGGCTGTCATCGGCAATCCCGGGTTACCGATTGGTCACAACAACAACAACAACAACAACAACACCCCCCCTGTCCCGCCCACTCGAGGGACCAACTCCTGCCCTGCTTCTCCTCCCAGAGCATGAATGACATTGCATTTGGACGATTAAAGTGCCGAGGACTCCTTTGCCCCCCGAGGACCACATGTGATGCCTCGGCGGCACAAGTCGCTTCACACCGCAAAATGGACTACATTCACTTCAGAAATGACAGCACGGACTCCCTCCCCCCTGCTGCAGCTCTGTGCCCCCCCCCCATCCACTGAGATATGAAACATGTGCAGTGAGCGGACAGCTGTTACCATTATTTAGTCTTTTACCTTAATCTTTGAAAACAAATGTATGATTAAGTTTACGGATCCCCGACCAAACCCGAGGCGGAGCGAAGGTTTATCAGATGGCATAATAAACAACATCATCAATAACAACAACTCTATCCAGAAATCAAGGGGGCTGTTTTCAAGGCAACTGTGACTCGAGGAAATAAAAAAAATATAGATATATTTAACGAAAATATCTCACACTAACTGATTGTTTCACACACCCTACTGGACTTCATCACCACCTCTCCTGCACGTAGTGATGTTAAAAGCTGACAGTAACACGTGGAGGGTTTTCCACCCGTGAGCTTGTTGTGCTGTTGGTGAAAGGTTTTGGACAAAAAATAAAATAAAAACAGGGTCCTGTGGCGAGATATGCATGTGCCCGATTTCTGGGGCAAAGAGAGCAGCAGGCCTTCGATGTAAAACCCAAACCCGACTGGCCAACAGAAAGAAACACGACAAGAGTTCCGTTACATTCAGTGCATCTTTTTGTTTTAACGGTTCTTCAGCATGAAATGTTTTACCCCAAAGCAAGAAACCCATGCGCAGAGAAGAAGAGGCTTCCTGCCTCTGGCTGCAGAACCCGGGTCTGGTATTTGCCACCTAATGGAATACTGGTTGTTTGCATGGCCGCACCAGTAATTTAGTAAAGTGGGCAGTCAGAGATTTCCCTTGATATAAATATGTATATGTCCTTCCAGAATGAAACCTTTCCACCACTTTAGGAATAGAGCAGAACTAGTTGAAGGTTCTTTTAAATCCCAGGGCTCTTTGACATGATGACTTCCCATTTTGATACAAAAAGGGCTCCGAAGCCACTGATACCAGTCAGAAAGTCCGGCCTGCTATAGGTGAGCAAAGGCAGCTATATATTAGTTCTGCATACAGCATTAAACCACGGGTGGAAGCACAACAGTGTGCCGCCGTGTGACGGGCTGGATTCTATCGTGGGGCTCTGAGCGGCAGTCGGTAGACGCGGCGCCCTGTCGCATCTACAAGCGAGTGATCGGGTGAGTGTAAGTGTTTTGGCTGCGATCATGTAACATTATTCTCCATAACACCTTCGGCAAGGGGCTCAAGCTATCCAAAAAGCGTCACAACATCAGGGTGGTTGCTGGTACGCAGCAGTGAAACCCACCAGCCACGTCACAGTGGAGATCCCCACCCTGCTGCCAAGGCCTTCCAAGTGGTGGACAAGTGTCAAAAGCAGCAGCTATGGTTGGTACCCAGGAAGTAATCGATTGGTTAGTTCACAAACTCCAACACTCGCCGGAGTGGAGCTAACAGACAGACCAACGCAGAGCAAACGGTTTAAAAAGAAAACTATATCTTCACAACTAAAGCAGAATCCCCCCCCAACTGGTCCATCACTCACTCAAGCTGCCTGCTTGTTTGTTTGTTTGTTTGTTTGAGCTGTGAGCAGGGCTAATATATATATATATATTGTTTTTTAAAAGACACACAAAGCTAAAGGGAACCACCACACAGGAAAAAAACGTTTTTTCAGAGTCGGTTGAGATGAGAAACAGAAAAAAACAAATCAAAGTTACATCGTACAGCGACTCTGGAGGTTGTTACGGTGAGTCGATCCAGACCAGACTGGGCCGCGCAAGACAGTTTCGGAACCTTTTCAGCAGACTAAACGGTCAGGACTCAAGTCTTATTTGTGGTCAGGGACCACAGATTTGGGATCACTTCAAATTGAATGAATATAGAATTTTGATTAAAATGTCTCATTTGATAAATGGATATTCTTAATTGGTATGATTTATTTTAAGTCATTGGCCAACGAGAAAGGCAAAGCAAGAAAACAGGGAATCATTTGGAAAATGACTTGATTGTGTGTTAAAACCCCTGTTGAAAAAAAAAAAGAGAAATAAGTAAAATAAAAACCATCAATTCACATAATTGTAATTTCTAGATTTTCTTTTTGAGGATCCAGTTTAGAGGTCTCTCACACGGGTGCGTTGGGCCGAGTTAAGAGGTCTGACTCGACTTGGTCTTTGGCCGGTCTGGCCTGGTCTCGACACGGTTTAGGATGTGACGCGTTGGACTTGCCCCGCCCCCTCCACCCTCGCCCCTACATGCCGACGCTGAAGGCCTGCAGCTCGCGGTGGAAGTGCTGGGTGGGCTCGGACAGAACCAGGCTGGAGTCCAGGCACGGGTGCCAGACGCGGCCGAGGCCCAGGGACACCTCCTTGACCAGGTTGTGGACCGGGTCGCCCTCCATGCACACCGACTGGTCCGGGTCGAAGTCGATGCTCTCCTCGGAGACGGTCAGGACGCGGAGGCTGGAGCCCCGCAGGCGGGAGATGGCCACCAAATTGTGGGACCAGACAGTGTAACCTAGAGAGAGAGAGAGAGGAGTGCAGGGGGGTTTAGGGAGGCTGGACTAATCTTGCAAATAATGTCCTAAACAGCACAGAAACATAGAAAACATGAGTGACGTAACAGGACATACTGGCTACATATTTGCTGTGCGATCATCTCACCTTCACCTACTTCTAGACAAACAATGTACTTATATCTGGCAGTTTAAGGGACTGACTCGCCAGGAATAATAACTTTGATAAGCAAATTACTTCACGCGGGACTATAACATTCCACCGGTCACTCCCCTTCACACTGCACATGCCACTTTAACTGTAATTCATCACTTTGTCGTCACTTTGTCACTTGTCTGTTACTTGTTCGTTAGTGCACTTTATGCTTAATATTTTTCTTTTTAACCTTTTTAATATTTAAAATTCTTAACTTTATTCCCTTGTTTTATACTAACCCATAGCCTTATTCTACTAACCCATTGCATTAGCATTGCATTAGCATTTCATTTTACTTTATTTTATTACTTGTGCACTGCTGTCTTGTCTGTCTACTGTCGCGCACTAACCGCCAAGACAAATTCCTTGTATGTTTGGCATATTTTGGTAAACGAATGTTTCCTGATCCTTCTGTGTGATGTGGATGCAAAAGAATTCTCACATCGACAAAACCCACAGAATACCAGCACCAGTCTGCCATCAGCAGGAACTGGTTTCCAGTGTCACCGTAGAACAGCCTCGCAGTCCCAAACACTAGTCAAACACAGACCGTGTGGAGCAGATTTTATATTTAGCAGCCAAATATTTTTCTTACCGCTACGTGTGGGGGAAAGCCAACACACTGAGCACACCATCCCAACAGGGAATCATGGTGGTGTAGCATCATGCTGTGGGGATGCTTCACTTCAGCAGGTACAGGGAACCAAGTCAGAATTGAGGGAAAGATGGACTACATGACGACTCAAACACACAACCAGAACTACAACGGAGCGGTTTGGATCAAAGCACGTTCATCGTTTCAAATGGCCCAGTCAAAGCTCACACCTCAATCCAATTTTTCAATCTGGAAACCGCTGCCCACAGACTTTCTCCATCTAATCTGACTGAGCTTCATCTTTTTAGCCAACAAGAATGGAGGAACATTTCCAGCTCTACAGCTTTCGTTACCTCGTTTGACTGTGACTGGCACTAATGTTCCGTAGATGTGAGACCAGATATCAGCAATAGACCCAATAAGATTATTATTTTTTTTTTTTGGACAGTCGGTCATCACCACACTCACTGATCTATATTCACTTGTTGGTTTGCATTGGCTGCATTCATGTCCCTCAGCAGAGGGGCTGAAGAAGCTGCCGGGCTTCAGATGCTTCTCACTTATGTGAGAGGGAAACCGTGGCACTTATTTTATAATCTATTATTTTTATGCCCTCAAAATAAAATGGATCCATAAAAATGAATCTTGAGTTTACTGTATGCCTCCGTTGAAGCAAAAAAAAAAAAACTAACTAAAAAAATCACACCCAAAACAATGAATGTAGGTTAATTATGTGGGTGTAACATGCTTAACACGTTTGGTTACAGTTGACCTCATTCTTGCCTTCGTAATCTTCTACAATTAATAAAGCGACTAACAATAAGCACATCAATTCTGGAAAGATTGCCTGAAAGTGAAGCCCTTTTGACAAGCACACCTGAATGTAAAACTAGGTTTCGACAGACACAACCACATGGATATGCTATTCCAGAAGTTGACCTGGAAAAAAACTGTACGTCCCTAAAACAACAAGCTCAGCTCACCGTGTATCACCAGTACAGCCAGCTGAGTACATCTCCACGAAAGGAGGACCAGTGGGTCTTCGTTGCGATTGATGCTGAGGTCGGGGAAGTCGGGGTCGTCCCTCAGGAGCAGGAAGTGAGTTAGCGTTTTGTTGTACTGCTGAGAGATGAGCTCCAGCGTGCCGTCGGTCACCAGCGTGCTGTAACTGTCGAGGTGGAGGCGCTCCAGTGGCAGGCTGGGCTTCAGGACCCTGAGGAGCTCCGAGCTGTCGACCTCCAGGGCCATGATGTACACTCGCAGGTTGGCGCTCACGCGGATCTGGGGAGGACGGGGGTAAACTTGACAACAGGTGGAGGAAACGGCTGCCCCTGGAGCCTTGTATGTAGACGGCAGAGGAAGACGGAAAAACAGAGTTCGCTGCATTACCAGTGCTTTCCAATCGTCCTCTGTAGCGGTCCCTTCCAGCGGTTTGAACTCCAGGGCGGCGCCGTTGAGCAGCAGAGAGAGGCGATGCAGGGGGGTTCGACGAGGAGAGGCCAGCAGGCGGCAAAGCTCAGAGGTCAGATCAGCAAAATCCAGAGCCAAAGAATGAAGATTAGATATACGATCCAACTCTGATGGGGAGATGAGGGGACCTGAGGGAAGTTCAGGAGAAACATGATGTTCTACTGGTCTGGAATATGCACCAGTAGGATCCAATCGGCGGGAATTGTTTTTAGCTGAAGCTTATAACTGCGTTAGAACGGTTAAAGACACCGAGATCCAGGAGAGTCACACCTACACATACCCAGCTGGTGGTCCAGTAAACTGAGGTGCTGCAGGGTCTCCACGGAAGGATTCGAGAGGCAGGCTAAGGAGGACGGAGTCACCAGACCCAGCATGAAGCTGCAGGACAACCACCTAAGCTGCCTGACGTTGGACAGCAGCTCCATGAACAGCTGCTGGATTCTGCAGAGAGAAGACGATTAGCTTCAAGTCACTCTATGAGCTCAGGACACCATTGTGTGCTTCGTATGCCAGCTCAAATCAAAGAAATTGTGCTTGTGACGAACAAGAAAAGAAAAAAGCTGAAGAACGACATGAAACCCAAAAAACAATGCATGTAAGACTTGCAAAAGCGGACCAAATATTTCACCATCTTACACGCGGTGCGATGAGCAATGACCAAACAAACAACAGACTGCACCAGAGTAATCCAGCCAATTATGTGTTAAGCATTTTTATATGACTAACAGGAGGTTAATGAAAACAATCTGACATTGTCTTAATGTGATGCCACGCGCTCTCCATGAATGGCAAATACTGATCAGGCCATCTAAGGCGGCGATGTGGGTCGTCAAAATAAGTTTTATATCCTGACGGATATACAGGATCATGTACATTATAGAGCAACTTCACTCTCAACTAAGCTTATCGTCTCCGAGCACGTCGAGGACAAAGAAGCGGCCCAAAGCACGGCGACACTCAATTCACAGAGTCCGTAAATCTATGTGCGAGCGAAAATGCATGGCATTCTATTTGTACGAGTGCCGCTGGAGCAGCACATCCCCACCGGGGGGGTAAATATCCTACGTTATAAAACCCCGCTGTTATTGAGCAGCATGTAGGCACACTGGATTGTTTGTTAAAATCTTTACATGATTGTTTGCAGTTCTCAGTCATTAAACTGGGTGGGCTCGGACCGCGCTACATTATTCATTGGCACGTCCTCCCAGCAGTCCGCTGACAGACACCCGCTCCGTGTGTTTGGGGTTGTGGCGATGCTGCGCTGACTCGATGTCTACCCATTTATAAAATGGGCCGCCCTTCTGAAACAGCACGCCGTGTTCTGTTCCAAACGAGACCGCCTGCACACAAACCTCCATCTGACATCAAAAGGACAATACTATGGATTTTGTTCCGTAATCACCCATTTAGCAATGCAAATATTTTTACTTACAAGGCAAGAAAGCACTCTACAGTGTGGGCAGGAACATTACCCTCAATAAGTGGTTACTAAACTATATGTTGCTTACTCATTGATCTTTTTGTCCCCTTGGTGAATTTGGTGCAGGTTGGAGCTGTCCAAAAGTCCCTCCTGCTGCAGAACGCAGGTGTCTCCATACAGACTCAGCTTCCGCAGGTTTCTAAGGAATGAGAAGGAGAGAATATATAAGGAAAACAAAGAAAAAAAAGAAATACATAAGTGTTCATTGTTTTCACAAAGCGTTGTCGTTCAGCTAGCGAGTATAAAACAAGTTCATCGTACCAAGCTAGATTTACATTATTCTCTGGCTTAGAGAACGCAAATAAAAACACATATCAACTTGGGAAGTTGACCACCCGGTTCTCAATCTAGCTTTGAGCAGGTTCACATAAAAGGAGGGCATTGTTTGCCAAAAAGGACCGATCTCTAACATGGGACCCGTCTGCTGTCAGCAGAGCGGCATAATAAACAGAGCAAACTTCTGTGCATTCGTCTAATGTGATAAAACGCATAATGCAGGCGAACAGCAACACACACACAACAGCTGCTGAGTTGAGATCAAAATGAAGGCAACGCTTAAGGATGAAGTGGGTAAGGGGCCATTGGTTGTTTTTCTTTTGTGGATAAACCCTATTCATACCTGGTAAATGAAGTAAAACCTAATATGAATGTTCAAGCGCAGGCTATGTTCTTCAAAACCAACAATAGGAAAACATCCGCATTTCAGTCATTAATCAGATGTGTGTATAAAAAAAATATACATGATTGGTATAAATCGGCAAAAGCTTGACTTGACCGACTTGTGTAATCATCTTAAATGGGTGATTTTGATGCGTCTGCTTGCACTGTCAACATTTGTTGAAGTGATGCAAGTTGTGCATCTGGTTTGATCACATGAAGCGGGCGAGAGGTGTGGGAATTTTTCACAGAAATAGCAGCAGGTAGAAGGGGGGGGGGGGGAGGGGTGTTGAGTTCAACCCATTGCAATGTAAGCAAACTTCAGAAGAAGGGGGGGGGTGTTACCTCATACTGTAGCCATTCTGTGCGCTCTGATCTAGCCTGCCCAGTCCTCCTGTATATTGCTGCGTTGCACTCTGCTGCACTTCCCTCTCGATCCCTTCATCCCCTGCTGCCCAAAATAGATTTCCACCAATCAAACTGAAGACTAGAATTCAAAGGTTGATGCTTTAACAGCAGTGCCTTTTGACAATAATGTTTGGAGGTTGTCGGCAATGGGAAAGGAAGGTAAACCACACATAACGTAGGCCAACCCACCGCGCTGTGTGTGTTTGATGTTTGAGAGCCAAGCTTAAAAAAAGTGTAACCAAAAGCAGGCTCATGTGCAGCTACTTAATGAGGCAAACCGGTAGTTCGGGAACAATGAGCTATCTATGCCCATTATTTCTGAACCAAACAGGTACCCATGGAGTTAGACACTTTTAGTCACTGGGAGCTTTGGTTAGATATGACCGCTGATGGAGGTCTTTGTCGGGGGTCAACTGGTTTGGAACTCAATACAAATGATAGACAGCAATAAGATGACACAATAACCAGAGTATGACACATTTTATTATGACTTAGTGCTATTTTTGTATTATTGCTGGTTGTTTAAAGTAGTCTTAAAGAATGCAAAGGGCCAAGATCAATCCCTGTTGAGTTTTAATACAGACTTTTACACAAAATGTACTCAAAACTATATCTTTATGGTTTCTAATACAAGAAATCCACACCTTTTCGGAGTAAGGGGAAGTGATACAAGCCAGGCGCCGACCAATCCAACCGTGTTAAATGTTGGACGTTGCAGGAGCGTCCTTAAGAGAAAGCTTATGTGTAATATTGAGGGCAAAATGATCCCAAATTACCACATTCTATAAAAAAAAAGAAAAAAAAGAGCATAATAAGTACATAAACTGACTTCTTGAAGTATGCCTCATTCGGTCCAGCGTGAATAACTCAAAATAACCTGCTGCATGTATCGTGGACACCAGCCAGGTTTCTGGATGGAACATATCGAAACTGCTCAATGAGAAGAAGTCAGACAACAGAAAAAGGTTTCAACCCCCTCAGCACAACGAAGACAGAAACACAGCGATGGATGGGACCTATTTCCAACAATGCAAAAGCACTGCCGCGAATAAAAGGGAATGTGGGAGAAGGTCGGCCTCTCACTCACACACACACACACTCACTGCACTGAAATCAGGAAGCCTCACGTTCAAAGCAACGTGTTACTTCCCCAGCACGGATGAGCCTGAATGCACGCAACAGACAGGTGGTTTCATCTGACCTCATGCAACCTCCTTCCCACATCTAAATGCTGTACACACGTACACATATTGTGTGCGTATGTCAGCGCTGATATCAGCAAGTCAAGGCCGACAAAGCCTTCTCCAGCCACCACTGCATTGTTTCTGCTGGTATGAAGACCCCAATGGAGCATAGAAAATACAACTGGCAAGAAAAAGACACGCAGAAGAGAGATCAATGCTTCGTTGTCATAATATAACAAATAATGTTCCCAGAGATTAAGACAGCGTCGGATGCTCACTCCACCACAAAGACGAGAACCTGTTACGTAACTCCTAAAGCCAGGGTTTGTTTATAGCTAACTAAGCTAGCTAGATGCTAGCTTACTGCGACGCACCAAACACTGCGAAATGGGAAAAAAATGGCGAGGTGGGGGTGGTGTCGCGCGACACGAGAAATGGAAGTTTTATCGTAAATTCAACGATACCTGTTGTTACGGATGCTGGAGAAGACGCACAGCACCTGGTCCAGGTAGGTGGCCATGGCGTCTCTCCATCGCTCGGAGAGCTGCGGGTCGCTATCGGGCTGGTCCATCCTGTTGGACGTCTGGCCGCTGTTCAGGGGGCCGAGGGAGCCCTCCACCGGGGCCAGTTCCAGTTGCAGCTCCCGCACGAAGGAGCCGAACTTGCGCATGAGAAACTCCAGCTTCGGGGTCTCCTCGGAGCTGGAGCCGCCGCCGTTGCAACCACCACCTATCCGCAACTTGAGCTCGGTCCACAGCGCCGGGTAGAAGAGACACTCCCTCCACCGGCAACACACGGCCGAGGCCCGCAGCTTGTCTCGGTCGGAAAGGAACGAGAATATGTGGACGATAAGCTCGCTGGGCAGATCCATGGCTCCGATACCCCCGCACAGAGCCATGGCGAGACAAGACAGCTGCTGCACTGAGACCAAGCAGTTGTAATGTTACAACTGTTTTTTAAAAATGGGTGCTGCTACAGCGAATAACAGCAACGCGTCTCCCCCTCGCTGAAAACAAACCGTTCTTTAGCGTTGCGTTCAATACTATTGGACCGTACCACTCAATTTAGATTCACGGAAACAAAACAGTCCTCATAATATTCATTAATGCCCGGAGCGTTATGAGTGTCATATTTCGTGGTTATAAAATGCAATATTTAATTTATTTATGCATGTTAGGGTTCAGTAAAAACTCGCCACATTTTTAGTAATTTATATCCGCATTGCCTCGATGCCGAGTGAATGGTTTAGTCCTGAAGCGCTCCTATTTTTGCCATACCGCCGTGCTCCGCAGGAGGGCGGTGTTTCTCAGCAGTTCAACGCGAGCCAACACGTGATCTTTATTCGGTAAAGTTTGGAAATGGTGTGAAAATGAATAGGACAGCACTTTGCTGCAACATATGCTGTCACCATGACAACGTAACCAAATATGATGAACAATTTAGGGTGTTTTTTTCGAACTTTTTACTCTTTATACTTTTTTGAGCTATAATTTCCATTAATGTTTTTGTTCAAACCGGCTTCAATGAAAAGGTTATATGCAAGGAATAAATGAGTAAATATTGCCTTTCATGTTTTTTTGTTAATCTTTAAGCCTTAATGTTTCTGTGTAAATTTAATATGACAGGCGGTACACACATCCTTCCTCTTTGTTTACCTATTGTTATATCTCCATGCTTTCGCCGGTTTTGCAATGACTTGTGAGTAATTCCCTCGGTCAAGTCAGCATCCAATGCCAAAGGTTCATTAGGACCTCAAAATGTCGACCAGAGAGCCCCAAACACCCGGGGATCCGACAAGTGGCACAGCCCTGATTGAATTCTGCTGAGAACTTTCCATCACTGATTTCTTACAGATAATTAAATGGTAAATGGACTGTACTTGTATAGCGCTTTTCTAGTCTTCCAACCACTCAAAGCGCTTTAACACTACATGACACCATTCACCCATTCACACTGTGAGATGCATGTACTGGTAAAATATATTATAACATTGTTTTGTGCTAAGGCCGTGTCTCAAGTGTCCTGTATTTGACCCTGAAGTGCAAGGAGCAGCATGATACAAAATGTTGCTTTGCAGCTGCGCACTGAGAAGGGAGAGCGGTTAACTCGATCTCGTAGAAGCTTCAAAACAGAGAACTCCTGTTCATGGCCTTGGTTCATATCTTATTCGGTATGAAAGTTCCGGATCCACATTTTTTACTTTATGTCAATTAACTATGATTTGCACCGGCCACTGAGGAGGATCTTGTGTGTGTGTGTGCTACCCTCAGCTTCACCTGGGTTCTTATCTCAACCTGCTTTGTGGCTTCTCGTAACTGGCACGGAGAATGTTCTTCACATGTGTATAAAAACTCAGCGTTTTCACTGCTCGGAGACGTCATTACGCCGAGCGCTGAGATACGTGCTGGTGTGTTTGACCTCCTGCCTATAGGCAATAGTTAGAGCCAGATATCTGCGGAGAATTGCTCATGTAATCTTTTTCTCTTCTAAATAAATGTTAACTTTTTGACTTTAATTGAGCAGCCACAGGAGCAATGTTGGGTTAAGAGTCTTGCCCAAGGACACATCGACATGCGGGTTAGCCAGGCCTGGGATCGAACCAGCAACCCTTCGATTGGAGGACGACCGTGCTCCCCACTCATCCAGGGTCGTTACTTGGAGAAGACCAGGCATATAGAAAAAAAAGAGTAGGAGATTCTCTGTTTAGGTTGAAGTAGTAAAACACAGTATATTTAAAAAAAGGAAAAAAGATTTAAGTGATTGACCGCGGTTATTTTTTATAAACGTACCAGTGTTTGATGCCCATCTTTTTTGATTGTGTTAGAGCTACAAGACGCGTTCTATCTCTGCCATGTTAGTTAAAGTTACAGCTCTATTATTTGTGTCACATTACATTTATTCCCGTCCTCTCAAAGTGACATTTAAAATGCAGTGTGAGAGCCCAATTATGGAGGATGGTCTCCAATGAAATCAATTATAGCCTATTCAAGTAATACAAATGGAAATAACTACAAGAAAGGCACAAACTAATTTTAAAGACTGGCCTTTGTATTTTTATACAACAAAAGTGCAGACTCAGTACATCAAGTGTTTTTTAAATTTAAATAGTTATATTTTGCAGTATTTCGAGTGACTAACCAGCTGAATTCCCACTTTAGTAGTTGGTACTATTATTATTAGTAATTGGTATTTCCCTCTAGTCACATAGTTAAGAAAGGGCCGTGTTTTTTTGAGGTCTTGGTTTTCAGCAAATGCAAATGTTATATACCGACCGAATCTATTTTTCTTCAGACTGAAAAATACAACAATACAAAAATGTATTTTCAAAGGTTGAATCTTAGGGTGACAATCGGAACAGGGCATATTCAAAAAAGAATATAGTTATGGGGTTTTGCTCTCTTAATAGTCTTAATAATTGTGCTTGTGTCATTTTTGCGTCATAAAAACCCCCCAGTAATACTTCATCACAATGGTGTTGTCCCCTGCCTTTCAGCAATAAAGAGCCCCGAGCATCTCTTTTCAAGCAAGTCGAGCTCTTATTAGATATTTGTTCCGGCTGATTTCCTTTTGAGTCGAACAAATTAAGTTATGTTTGGAGTTCAGCAGAGTTTTTCTGTTCATACATCCAAAAATGTCCTGTGTGCATTGGGGAAATTGCAACACAGCCAAAATGGTATATTTGTATGATTATTAAACCTTTATTTATCCAGGGAAGTCCCACAGAGATCTTTTTAGACACACTGAGCTGTAAATACCACAGCAGTTTCCCAGATCCTCTTTGTTGTTTTGAGACGCGTAACCACTGTAACCTCATGGGACCAAATAAATGATTTGTCAAAAAAGTCTGAAATGATTAAAAAACATCACATTGTAGGCAAAGTGGAATGTTATTGACGCATTCATTAATCAAACCTCTCGTTATTTGGTGTATTATCCCTTAAGATTGTACACAAGCAACACATAGTCCAAAGAAATTTACCTCACCTGGAAACTGGGCCTCATCTTTTGGAGATTATCAGTATGTTAAAACGTTATGGGAACATGTCTCAAAATGAATTATTGATGTTTTGTACACAGATTAAATTTGGATTCTTTGCTATGAAAGAACATGTGAGGAAAAAGTCAATAACATCAATTCATGGATTATTTTTGCCAAATTCTAAACCATAGAAGCCACTGGATTCGGACTTTGGCTTTGTTCTGCTTACTGTGGCTTTATACACAATATCAGAGACACTGTCAGCAACCACAGAGAAAGACTGTCTGTGTTGTAGTATATTGTGTGTCTATGTGCCATAGAGAGGGTAAAACAACAACAACAACAACAACAACGTTGTTTCATCCGAGTATTACATGAGACAGAGTCATTTAGTGAGATTATCAGGCTTCCCTACTGAAGTGTCCTTGAGCAAGACCGTTAATCCCACTTGGTGGCTGGTGCAGCAACCTAAGCAGAGGGCAGAAATGTGACGTAAATCAGTGAAGCTCCACGCTGTCTAGGGACAAGCCGAGACCATCAATCTCCCACCTCCACGTCGTGAGATAATCTGTGTTCATCTCCACCTGCTGGGTGTGATGGCAGCTGCTGCGGGCTCTCGTGTCAGCACCTTAATGGCGCTTTGCACATTACTCTGTTGTAAAGATAAGCGCCTTCCCCCGTTGCAAAATTTGTGTCGGTGAAATCAAGAACAAAGGAATGTGATTGCAGCAGAGTGAAAATGGTGAACGTTGAGTGACTGCAGAGACAAGAACAAAAAAATAAAAAGTTCCTGGTGCGCGTCAGTGTAGGCATTCCAACTGTGATTTCCATTTGAACCTCCCCCAGTCTTTGTTGCAGCATGCTGATCAATTGCATCCTCACACACTCCATCTCTGCGCTCTGATTGCTCGCAGATCGCACTCCGCCTCTCACCGGGACCGTCTTCATGCTGAGATGCCAAGTATGTGTACGGAGCGATTTTCCAATAAAGCATAAAGAAATCATGTTGCGCTGTAATGGGGTGGATACGTTAAGCTCACTCTCGCTCTCTGTGGGGACCAGACGTTTACTGAACCTGGGCCCAGCAGGCAAACCGATCCATTTAGTGCTGAATCACCTACTGGTGTCACGGCCTGCTGCCGGCGCGGAGCAAAGGGTGGCGGTAGAGCTCTGCGACTGACTGCTGCCGCCTCACTGTCGAGGAATGAGATGCAGAGAAACGCTCCTTGTGAGACAGATCGAGAGATGAGACATAAAAAAGCTAACAAGCACAAATAAACTAAGACAATGCTAATGACAACCAGTGATAAAGTCGAGTGCATCATTGCATCATCTGTACTGAATAATAATACATTAAATACACACACAACAAAATGTCAAATCATGACTGAAAAATGCATACACAGTAAGCAATACTCATGTTTATAATTATTCACTTCAACGTCTATATTTCCATACATTACATATGTTATGGCTGTAGAAAACTCTTCAGTCTCCAAGTTATTTACATTAAAACAAGACTGCGTGGCTTTTGGTGAAAAGTGCCATAATTGATAATAATGGGATCAATGAAAAACATAAAAATGAAGCATAACTTTTGGACAAGTCCTAAAGGCAGCAAACGATTGAGAGATACAGTTTACAGAGCAAAGCAGTGCTAATATTTTCTAACGTGGTTAGCTGGCTATACCAGCTACAAAACACTAATGTTTGGAGAGGCAGATCCACTGAGCGTATTAAAATGAGTTATTTCTATTTCTTCTCCACTTGCGTTAACAAGCGGTGATAAAAAGAATCATGTAAAATCTTCACACTTGTGTGGAGCTGCAGGTCTGGAGGGTCGGGATGCCAAAAAGGAGGAGAATCCTCTGGGGGACCAGGGAGTGCTGTGAGGACTGTAGGGAGGAAGCTGGTCATTTCCCAAGCAGAGGACGGTCCGGAGAAGCTGCTTCAAACGCCCGACTGCTTAAAGAGCTGGACGGAGGAGAGCCTGAACCGGCTGCCAACCGTCAAGCAGAGGGTGTTATAGAAGCTCTCCAGCAGCCAAAAGCTGGGGGAACAT